GCATGCAGGCAAAACACCAATGCACATAAAATAAATTAATTAAAAAAAAGAGAGTGGGGGACCCTTAGCTGTTATGGGGTTGTGCCTTTTGTGTGTGCATCGATTATTTTTCAGTGCTGGGGCCCAGATCCAGGGCCTTGCCCCTGCTAAGCAGTCACTCTAGCCCTGAGCTAGTGAGGGACAGGATCAACAAATACAGACACCTCTCCTCCTCCCCACCTGGGAAAAGACAATGGCTCCAAGACTGGGGACAATACCATTAGCCCCTAAGACTGGAGCTGCCCATCCCCTATGTCCATCAAGTCAAGCTGAGGCAGGAGAAAAGTTCAAAGACCGCCTGAGATACAGAGCCAAAAGCCAGCCAGGGAAACTTAGGGAGACCCTGCCTCTAACTAGAATGTCAACAGGTCACCCTGGGTTCGATCCCCAGCACACTCCATCATCAAACAAATGAAACAGACTCCTGCATAGGCCACAGGTGAGACAGGAGCCTCTCCTATGACATTAAATCCCCTGTGCCTTTAGTCCCAACACTCAGGAGACAGAGGCAGAGTGAGTTCAAAGCCAGTGTAGTCTACATAGTGAATTCCAGGACAGCCAGGGCTAACATGAGATCCTGTCTCAATTTTTTTTCCCCAGAAAATTAGAAGACAAAGAAGGATTTCTCCTCCTTCCTTCCCACTGGAGCCTCCAGGAAGTTCAGAGAGTAAACAGGGGCCGTAAACCAGGACAGAGGACCTTGGGGCCCTGTCCAGGCAGCAGGTTTAGAGAACAAACAATCACCGCTCCTACGGCTCTAAGTAAAAACAATGGAGCTAAATTCACTTGGGGACACTGTTCCCTGGGGAAGAGGAGGCGGAGAGATAGCAAGCCACAAAGCCTCACTGTCTGTCAACCTCCGAGCACGGGCTGACACCTCCCACTTTGAGCCTCCCTAAAATGGTAAGGAAAGGTTTTCTGTATCTTCCTTCCTTCCTTTCTTTCTTTCGTCCTTTCTTTCTTTCCTTCCTTCCTTCCTTCCTTTCTTTCTCCCTTTCTTTTACTGCCAGCTGAAACAGGTTTTCTGGGGCATTTTAGGACTACAGCCCCTAGTGTGGGAGGAGGTCCCCGAGGAGGGGGTTTGTTATCAGCACACAGAAATTCACATGGCTCTGCAGTTAACAGCAGGTCTAAACACAATTTTTTTTTTAAGCCTTTTAGAACCAGAATAAAAATATCGGGGGGGGGGGGGAGGTGGCAATTGGGCAGACCCTTCTCTTAAAGAACTTCAAACAGAAACAACCCAGACAAAGAATAGTAATCTAATAGAATCACGGATCACGGTTTAATGTAAGCATCAGAAAACTTAGTGAGAAGGAAAAAGAAAAACTCCCAATGAGAAGACAGAGAAAGACTGTGACAGTCTAGAAAGTTCTCTTCTCTTTTTGGAAATGCCTCCAAGTTATCCGAGAGACCCATAGGACAGAGTTTGTCCTGAGATGTCCTGGCCTTGGGATAACCTGTGTCCTCAAGCTATGTACAGCCAGGTCCCCCACAATCCCAAAGAGCCCCCCATTTCCCAGGGAACCCCCTCCCTGCTATTTTGAATACTTTGGATCTACAACTAGCCAACTTGCATAGGGACTTGTGGACAATTAGGTTTCCTTTTGTGTGTGAGTCACACAAAACACAGCTGACTACAGGGCGAGCCACCCCGTGGCTCACTGGGGACATCAAAAAAGCCTCATTCCTTTTCAAGCATGGCCTCAACTTTGCAGACAAAGCCTCAGCTCCCAGCTTGGCACCCCAGGAACTGGAGATGTCCAAGACAGGCAGAGCCCAACTCTCTCAAGGTTTATTCCCCAGGGGGCAGGAGAGTGGGGGAATGAGGGTCCAGTCCGTTACCAACCCAGAGTCAAGCCACAGGTACCGTATTCCACAGTGAAGAGGGCAGACTAGCATTTGAAAGCCCAGGGGAAGGGATGACAAAGAACGGATAAGAAATTAAGTTTGTCTTGGGCAGATAAGGATCCAATCCTGCGTGGGCATGGGTGGAGGAGTCTGACCTGAGGGTATTTCCAGTTCTGGGGTGTCCATTCCCTCCCCTTGGTTAACTCACCCTCCCATCAGCCAGAAGTGTTTCCTCCCTTTACCCTTCTCCAGTCCCAAAGCATTCCCACCCCTGACTTCCTCACCTCTATCTTTCCGTTAGTTTGTATTTTGAGACAGGGTTTTCACTGTTACTCCAGGGCGGTCTGGAACTCACTGCACGCAGAGACCAGCCTGCCTGCTTCCTGAAGTCTGGGATCTCAGGTGTAAGCTATCACAGCCCCAGGCATTTCTGTTTGGTTTTTGTCTGGTGAGCCCGAGAGACTAGCATGCAGAAAGCTGTGGGTTCTATGCCCAATATCACAAAAATTCTCTCTCAGCTGACAAAGAGGTAAGGTCAGCTTAGACAATATGAGATCTTACACACACACACCTGTGAGTGCATTTGCCTCGATTATATAATGAGACCTCTCTCTCTCTCTCTCTCTCTCTCTCTTGTGCGCGCGCGCGCGCGCGCGCACACACACGCACACACGCACACCCCCGTGAGCACACTTGCCCCTTCTGTCTTCCTCACTTTGCCTCCCCCGCCCCCAGCATCCTGACCAGCAACCCAGCCGCACTGGCTTTTGTCCCCACCCTCTCCCTTGAAGGGATAATCTAGACTTGTCCATCACTCTTCAGGCTACGCCACCTTGACTGTCTGGTGCTAAAAAGACCTTTCTCGGCTTCCTCCACATTGCCACCCTTTCTGCTCTCTTGTCTTCTGTCTCCCTCCAGATCCCTTCCCATAAGCCAGATAGTTCTGTCCCAGGTTTCTTTACCCCGTATTCAAAATGTCTGTCAATTGGGTGACTCCCAAAGTGGCATCTCCAGTCCGCAGCTGGCAGATTGCCGGGTCCCACTCATCATCTCAACCTCCCCAACTGGCATCCCTGCTAGCCGAGGTTTCAGTCTGGAGGCATTAGGGATATAAGCTGGTGGGAAGCATAGATAAATAGGTGAGCAAGACTATGTTGATAGCGCTTTATCCATCCACTTATTTTCACAGTGCTGGGAATGGAACCCAGGATCACCTGCTTAGTAGGCAAGTGCCCCACCACTGAGCCACATCCCCAGCTGGACATAGGATTTCACCGTGGCTAAAGCCATTGGCAGTCTGTATCAGCGCAGGAAGGATAAAGACAATGGGGTCTAAAACAGCAGCCTCTCAGCCTATCATGTTGTATCAGAGGAACTGCACCCAAGGAACACCGGGAGAGCTAGGGAGACGCGGATCGGTGGTTAGGGGTGCTTGCTGCTCTTGCAGAGGACCTGAGCTTGGTCCTAGCACCTGCGTCAAGTGGATGCTCACAACGACCTGGAATTCAATGCCTTCTGGCCCCCAAGGCGCAGGCTCACACACACTCTTAAACCAAAAAAAAAAAAAAAAAACCCACCAGGTTCGGTCCTTTCTCTTCCCACCCATGTCCTCCTCAAAGACTGCCTGGAAGGGTACCACAGGGAGAACCTGTCCTGAAATGCTTGCCACCTTGTCCAGGGTATTATGCCCCACCCACCTACTTGCCCTGTCTCCTCTGCCCCCCCTCCGCATACCCCCCCCCAGAAGCTGCCACAGGTCTGCCAAACCATCTGTTCAGAAGACAAATAATCTAGCAAGAACTGAAGTCCCAGACTGAGGCAGCAACTTTTGGGGGAGGCTGTAAAGCAATTTTGTGGGGGCGGCAGTCAGGCCCTGGGGCCTTAGGTTGGACATCTTGGGATTCCCAGGCCAAGCAACCTCCTGCAATTCTGGCCTGTGATCCTCTGGCCCAAATGCCACACATAATTAGAAGTTATAATCCTGTAATTCCATGATGACATCTTTCAACTTAAATATACTTTAAAACTCTTTTTAGATGCCAAAAGCAACGTAAACTGCCCACTGTCCCCACCTGACTCCATATTCCCCTCCACTTCAGCTACTTCATTGGTGAGCAACAACTCTAAGTCGGCAGTGTCCCGCGGGAGAAGGAAACTGCCAAGCCCATTTACGAAGTGGCATGTGGGAAGCAGTTTCACTTCCCTATTCACGATCTCGCTGTGCCTTCGATGCTATCAGTTAGAAAAATATCTACGACAATCTCTCAACCCACCAGGTGAGATTGGCCAAACTCCAGAGGCTATTTTTAGACTCACTGGGGACCTGAAAGGAAGGTGTGCTTGTCACTGTGATTCGAACCTCCAAGGCATCTTTGTAAGCCAGTTCCTACAGCCTGTCCAGCATGCCAGAGCCGCTGTGGGAACCTGCTGGGGTCGCTTTTGAGGAACTGAGCTCCAGGGCAAAAGGCAATCGGGTAAGTTGCCGAGGAACGCCAGGACGTGCCAAACGCGCAGAGCCCATTCTCTTCGCCCGCTCGGTCTCTCGGACAACCAAATACAGATAAATCCTCTTTGGAGAAGGGGTGAGACTGCCATTCTCTGGCCCTCTTGGGCGACACGAGACAAACGAGGGAGGAGCTCGCCAAGTCCCCTTGCAGCAGCTACCCTCCCTTACCTACTAAGAAGTCGAGGAGAAGAATGCTGAAGGTATTTGGGAGGCAAAAAGAGCAAAACTCTCTGTCCGCGCTAAGCACTCGGATGAAAGCTGGGCTCCGGTCGCAGCGCGGAGGGACCGAGCTCGCCAGCGTGGCCAGGGGCTGGTCCTTTCCCCACTGGCGCGGGAAGGCTGGCAGGGCCACCCGGATCACCTCTCCAGGCTCCTCACCTGCGCGCCGCTCGCCGGTACACCTGTGCGCCAGAGCCCAGCTGCCATCTATCTGCTCTGGGCGCCCAGCCGGACTCCGTCCCCTTTCGCCCTCCCTTCTCCACTGCGAGGCCCGCACAGCCCCGCGCGTCCCCTCCCCCTCCGGACCAGGCCGACCCCCACGGCAAGCCCCATCAGCGCGCTCCAGCTCGAGCAGACAGAGAGGGTCTGCGGGCTCGCCACCCACCTTCCGAAAGTAGTCATCGCTCTCTTTCTCCAGTGGCTGGGGGGCCGCGGGCAGCAGTGCGTCGGTCATGCTGGCGGCGCGGGAGCCGAGGGTGAACTGAGGTGCAGTGGCCACCGAGGGCCCCAGAAGGCGCCGGGATACGCCCCGCCCCTTTCCCGCCCCGCCCCCTTTCCCGCCCCGCCCCTCCGCGCCCCACCGGACGCGCGGCTGCACTGAAACCCCGCCCGAGCCCCAGAGCGCTAGATATCTGGAGCCCCGCCCCTGCTAGAAAGGCGGAGCCGGAGGAGGAGCCCCAGCCGGGAACTCCACTACACCCTGCAACCCGGAGAGTGAGCCACACCCCTAATCTTTGGAGCCACGCCCCCGTCTCATCTAGGCCCAGCCCCCTCCCAGCCTTCCAGTCCTACGGGAGGCCGAGCCCATCTGTCTGGAGCCTCGCCCCCTCTCCTCAGGCCCCGCCCACAGCCGGAGCTAGAGCCCTGAAGCCTCGGCTCATTTGCATAGGCCACGCCCCCGCCCGTCCGCGCCAGTGGTCAGAGCCCGCCTGAGCGAGCAGACTTTAGAACCTAGTGCGCCGCTTGCCTGCTGAGCCTACGCTATTAATCTGTGCGTGGTTAAGGTCTCTACCTTGTGAGCGCCAAGGTGGCGCAGCGGACTGGGCAGGGGTTTCAGAGATCGCAGTGAAACTCAAACTGGGATTCACCCTTTTTTCTGGAGCCTTGGGAGGAGTAGATGCAGAGAATGTGGGTAATTCATGGTCGCTCTCCCACCCAGAGATTTGGATATGCGCGGGCAGGATTCGGGAACCAGTTTCATCTCCGGCTCCGGAGCTCTTGGCGCTGGCCAGGGAGGTCAGGAAAGCTTCTCTTGCAGGAGGGAAGGCCACCGAGGGCTTGGGCTTACTGAGGGCGTCAGGGGTGGATGCCAGGAGAGGGGACCGCCTACTAAGCAGGCAGCGAAAACTCCGCGGATGTTGTTAAGGATCTTTGAGAAAACCAACCTCGTTTTTCGCACTTGCAGAATGGGGCCCAGGTGAGTCTTTCTCCAGCTGGCCCTGAGTTTCTGATACAGATGTGGTTAGTACAGGAGTACCAGGATTCCCCTAGGCTCGGGGCTGGTGCTGCCTCCTACAAACCGGATATTGGTGGCACGGGAGGCTATGATCCAGCCAAGAGCCCCCAGCCATCAGAGCCGTGTTTCTCGCACTGTCCCACCCCACCACCGAGGGACACCTTTGCTGCTTCTGTCTTTGGCAGTGTAAACCGCAGTAAAGACATAATCAGCTTTCAAAACTAACCAACAGTTCCCCTCCCTACCCCTTAAAAAGCGTAATAGGGTGGCTGGAGAGATGACTCAGTGGGTAAAGGTGCTTGCTGCTCGCTCGCTCGGCCTGACAACCCGAGTTCCATCCCTTATAGGCTCTTAGAATACAAGGGGCGAGAACCAACTTCCACAAGTTCTCTGGTCACCACACGTGCGTGCCTCAAGGCACGTGCATGCTCCCCTCCCCCAATGCGCACAAAATAAATACATGTAAAAAAATATTTAAATTGCACCAGGGGTGGTTCGAGGGGTTTTAAATAAACAATGGCAACAGCTTAGCAAATGTTAATATATAATTTTAAATCCACCTGGTCACAGACAGGCGCTAAGTAAGTGTAACAAAGATCCTGTCAAAGGATGCGACTCCGCACATGTGATCTGGATGTCTTGCAGGAAGTTGAACCGGCTTTATTTTTGAGTGCAAGGCTAGCCTGATATCTTCATTTGCCTCACATTGCTGTGATAAAAAGGGACTGACCAACAGCAACTCCAGGGGGAAAGGGTTTCCCTGATGTATACCTTACAATGCATCACTGAGGGAAACCAGTTCAGGAACTCAAGGAGAGACGGTGAGGGACACTGCTCCCAATGGCTTGCACAGCCTGCTTTTCTTTCTTAAATTGTTATTACTTTATGCCTATGGTTGTTGTCTTAGTTAGGGTTCCTATTGCTGGGAAAAGACACCATGACTACAGCAACTTTTTGTTATTGTTTTTTCGAGACACGGTTTGTCTGTGGCTTGGGAGGCTGTCCCAGAACTAGCTCCTGTAGACCAGGCTGGTCTCAGATTCACAGAGATCCGACTGCCTCTGCCTCCTGAGTGCTGGGATTAAAGGTGTGCGCCACCACTGCCCCTTGACCATAGCAGTTTTTATACAGGAAAACATTAAATTGGGGCTGGCTTACTGTTCAGGGGTTCAGCCCATTATCGTTATGTTGGGAAGCATGGCAGCATGCAGGCAGACATGGTGCTGGAGAGGTAGTGGGGAGTTCTACATCTAGATCTGCAGGCAGCAGGAAGTAACAGTGACACACAGGCCAGGCTTGAACTTCTGAGCCCTCAAAGCCCACCCCCTAGTGACACACCTCCTCCAACAAGGCCACACCTCCTGATACTCACTACGGGCTTGTGGGGCCACTTTTACTCAAGCCTGCCTGTATGTCTGTGCACCATATGTGTGTGCACACCTGGTGCCCATGGGGGTCCTATTAGGGTGCCAGGTCCCCTGGAACTGGGTTACAGGTGGCTTGACTCTCCATGTGGGTGCTGGGAATTGAACCCAGGTACTCTGAAGAGCAGCCAGTGCTCTCAACCACTGAACAATTTCTCCAGCCCCCTCAACCTGCTCTTATACAACATTTGTCAGGGTTAGGACCACTAGTGGGCTACACCCCCCCCATCAATCATTTATCAAGAAAACGTCTCACAGACTTGCTTACTGACCAGTCTTATGGAGGCATTTTGTCAATTGAGATTCCTTCCTCCAGGGCTGGAGAGATGGCTCATTGGTTAAGAACATTCACTACCCTTCCAGAGGTCCTGAGTTCAAGTCCCAGCAACCACATGGTGGCTGACAACCATCTATAATGATATCTGATGTTCTCCTCTTCAGGCATGTAGGCTCTATATGTAAACTATATATATTCCTCTGGGGTGACTCTAGCTAGTGTCAGGCTGACAGAAAATTAACCCACCACACTTGGGTTCAGCAGAAAGACACTGTCTCCATATTTCAAGAAAAAAAAGGAAGGAAAGACTGAGGGATGGAAGAAAGGAAGAGAGAGAGAGGAGAAGGAGAAGAAGGAGAAGAAGGAGGAGAAGGAGGAGGAGAAGAAGAAGAAGAAGAAGAAACCTAGAGTCCTAACCAGCTGGATTCTGGCAGATATTTTAGAAACAGCTGGAGAGATAGCTCAATGGTTAAGAGTGCTGCTTTGCTTCCAGAGGTCTTGAGTTCAATTCTCAGCAGTCCTATGGTGTCTTTCAACCATCTATAGTGGGATCTGATACCCTCTTCTGGAATGCAGGCATATATTCAGATAGCACACTCATATATGTAAAATAAATAAACCTTAAAAAAAACTTTCCTTCCTTCCTAAGTCAACCTAGTATCAAGGTGATTTTGGCACACTTCAGCCATGCTCTACTTAATTCATTGTCCTGGAAATGTGCTGGCCTGGAGCTGAGGTAAAAGCCGCTTTGGTTCAAGCTCCTGGAGTAGAGTGTTATGAGTAAGTTTTTCCTGCAGGCTGTTCTGGTCTCACTGCCGCGCCAGCCCCCAATAACACACAGAGATGCTGTATTAGATATAATTCTGTTGGCCACTTACTAGTTTCTTATGAGCTAGCTCTGTCTTAAATATTAACCCATTTCTATTAATCTAAGTATTTCCACGTGGTCTCATCTTACCGGAGAGAGGGCTGGCATTCTCTCTCCGTCCTCCATCTTGACTCTTCCCTACTACCTCCGGAATCCTCCTTGTCTCCTAGTCCTGCCTATCTTGCTTTCCTATTGGCCAACAATGCTTTATTCATTAACCAATAAGAGAAGCATATTTACAGAATGACATCTCCCATCAGTAGTGTGTCATTACATTATCATGTTACTGTTCACAAACTTAGCAATAATACAACCTCAGCTCTAAGCATCGAGTTAGACAGATACTGTGTTCCATCCAGTCTTAGCATCCTTCTGCAGATCAAAGGACTTCAAGGGTCCTGAGGAGGAAGGACCGAGACTTAGAAGAGGGGTATGGCCAAGGGTACACTGCCCATTAGTGTCTCACTTACCCCAGGCTTGCTGACTCCTCTCTTCCCTGTCATCTTCAGGAGCCCCATCTTCTAGCACCCTGAAGTTCAAGTTGCCACTTTTTATTTTAAAACAGTGACATACTGTGTAGCCCAGGAGAGTCCTGAGCCCCAGATCCTCCAGCCTCAGGCTCCCAAACTCTAGGATGACAAGTGCACATCAAGCCTAGTTCAAATTGCCTTTAAAGTTTGTTATGTGCACAAACCAACTTATTCTAATGTTGACTTAATAGTCTTTTTAAAGTTTCCTATTTACTTTTTCTATGTATATGTTGGGTTTCCCAGAACTGGAATTACAAATGATTGTGAGCCACCCTTCCTGGGTGCTTAGAACCAATTCTCCTGCCAGAGCATCAAGTAAACTAACCACTGACCCACCTGTCTAGGCCCTTTATAATCTTTTTTCATTTTAATTTATTTTTATTTTATGTGCATTGGTTTTGGCATGGGTGTCAGGTCCGCTGGAACTGGAGTTAGAGACAGTTGTAAACTGCCATGTGGGTGCTGAGAATTGAACCCCAGTCCTCTGGAGGAGCAGCCAATGCTTTTAACCACTAAGCCATCTCTCCAGCTCCCGCCCCTTTATAATCTTAAAAACTAAATTAGATGCTGGGTGGTGCATGCCTTTAATCTCAGCACTTGGGAGGCAGAGGCAGGTGGATCTCTGTGATTTTGAGGCCAGACTATTCTACAGAGTGAGCTCCAGGACAGCTAGAACTACACAGAGAAAGCCTATCCTGAAAAACAAAAACAAACAGACAATTTAGTCAGTATTTTTTGAGACACATTCTCATTCTCTTATTCAGGCTGTCCTGAAACTCTTCTGTCCCAGCCTCCCAAGTGCTAGGATTATAGTCTTGGGCCACCATGGCTGACTCAGTTTTCACTTTTAAAGGCAACTGTGTCATCACCATATTGTACTTTGCCCTATAGAGAGACACTTGTAAAAAAAGTCAATACAATAAAAACCAGGGTCTATTATTTAATCTAGTCTGACGTCATTGCCTTCTCCAGCTGTCTTGTTTGTTGAAGAAGAGGGAAGGGGATGAATCTGAATGGTAGAGCGCTTGCCTGGCATGTATGGGGTGCCATGTACAACCCCTAGTGTAGTCCAGACAAAAAGAAAAAGAAAAGGAAGCATGTCATAAAAGCCATCGCAGCCCACCTACAACTACCTCCTGTGTGTCTTCAGAGGTCCAGCTGGCACCCATCCCAGGAGCCATCTGAACTTTAATCCTTAGATGTACCCAACATCAGGTACTTTCAGACAGCCTCGTGACTCCCTGCAGGGCATCCCACAGGTCTCTACCATAACTCTGATGTCAGTGTGACCAGGAAATGAGACCTGTTACTGCTCACCCAACAGGGAAGCAACAACAGACTTATTCGTGCCCCAGCTGGTGTGTGGTGGCACAGGTCTGTCACAGCCCCTACTCGGGGCACTGAAGCAAGGGTATGGAGGTTTCAAATCCCCGCTTGGGAGGTAGGAGCAGGAGGATGAGAAGGTTGAGGTGGAGAGATGGCTCAGTTCACAAAGTGATGGTGTGCAAACACAAGGACCTGTCTTATATCCCTAGAACCCAAGAGAGAGGCGGGGGGGGGGGGGGGGGAGAGGTGGGCTCAGCAGAGACAGGAGGATCCCTGGGGCTCACTGGCTACCTAGTTTAGCCTAATCAGTGAGCTCCAGGGTCTGGTGAGAGACCTGGTCTCAAAAACCGTAGTAGGGACTGGAAATTTAGCTCATTTGACAGAAGTTTTACCAGGTGTGTGGGATGCCCCGGGGAAAGCAGTATATCCTGGAAATCTCTCTCTTTTAACAATTGGGGTTTTTTAAATTTTTAATTTATTTAACTTTTATGTGCATTTCTCCAGCCCCTGTACCTGAAATCTTAACACTTGGGATCAGAAGAAAGAGGATCAGAAGGTGAAAGTCATCCTTGGGTCCACAATGAGTTTGAGAGCAATCCAGGCTTCATGAGACACGCTCACAAAAACAAACCAAAAATAAAATTTACAAGGTGGACAGTCTTTCTAAAGAACTCTCAAGCTTAGCCTCTAACCTACACACTCACACACACACACACACACACTCTCTCTCTCTCTTTACACACAGACACCCATACTCATGTGTTCATGTTCCATGCATATACATATGCCCTCACCAAAAACAAAAAAACAAATAAACAAACAAACAAACAACAAAAAAGAATATTCCCAACTACACTATTTAAGAGAGAAGTTATCTGGTTCCCTAACAAGAAATTACCCACCAGCCCACGCACTAGTAGAACAGATGGATGAGGCACAGTAGGGTCACATAATGATAAACCGCAAAGGAGGAAACGAGCACCTTGCTTTTATGTACAGAATCACAAGGGATCTCACACTGATTGCTGAGCAAAGGAAAGCAGACATAAAGTACTATATGAGGGCCAGCAAGGTGCTTCAGCCCGTAAAGGCACTTGCCACAAAAACCTGGCAGCCAGAGGTCAATTCCTAGAACCTTCATAGAAGGGCAAGGACAGGACTCCATAGTCACATAGGTGATGTGGCAAGTCCCATACCAACAAACCAATCAAGGGTTAAAAGGGAGTAGAGGTGTGGGCCACCACCACCTAGCCAACTTGTGTATTTTTTACGTTCTTATGTGTTGGGTTTCTTTGTTGTTGTTCTCTCTCTCTCTCCCCCTCCCTCCTCCTTCCTTCTCTCTCTCTTTCTTCTTTTTTCAGGTTTTTGGTTTTTTGAGACAGGGTTTCTCTCCAGCCCTGGCGGTCCTGGAACACACTCTGTAGACCAGGCTGGCCTCAAACTCAGAGATCCACCCGCCTCTGCCTCCCGAGCGCTGGTTTTAAAGTCATGTGCCACCACTGCCTGACTCTTACATGTCAGTTTGAAAAATAAATATTTACTCATTTGATTGTGTGTATGTGTAATTAACATTTATTTATCCTTTTTTTTTTTTTTTTTTAATGTGTATGAGTGTTTGTCTGCTTATACGTCAATGCACCACTGGGTGTCTGGTGCCTGGGAAAGCAAGAAGGGGTTATTGAATCCTCCGAAACTAGAGAGAGTTGTGAGGCACCATGTGGGTGCTGGAAACAACCTGAATTCTCTGCAAGAGCAGCAAATGCTCTTAAAAACTGAGCCACCTCTCCAGCCCCCACCATGCCTATATCGTAAGATAGGAAGTCTTGTAGCCTAGGCTGAGGTTGAACTTGGTATACGATCACAGGTGGATTAGAAATCCTGGTCTTCCTAATTCCACTCTCTCCCTCTGGACGCTAGGATGACAGGTGTGAACCACCACGCCCAGCTTAATGTGGTTTCTATGAGGCTTTGCTATGTAGACCAGGCTGGCTTCCGATTCATATCCTCCTAACTATGCTTCCTCCCAAGGACTGGCATTGTGAACATGTGCCACCATACTGGTTACACACACACACACACACACACGGGAGGGAGAAGGCTAGCCATAGCTGCAAGTTCTAAGTCCTTATATTCCATAGGAGAGATACTGACAATAAAATAGCAACTAACAGATTTGGGCTGAAGAGATGCTCCAGTGGTTAGGAGCATTTGCTGTCTTTGCAGAGGACCTGAGTTCTGTTCCCAGCACCCGCATAGCAGCTCACTGCTACCTGTGACTTCACATCTAGGGGATCTGACGCTGTCTGGGCACCAGGCACACATGTGGTGCATATACACACATGCAGGCAAATGCTCATATATGTATATATATATTTGGTTTTTCGAGACAGGGTTTCTCTGTGTAACAGCCCTAGCTGTCCTGGAACTCACTCTGTAGATCAGGCTGGCCCTGAACTCACAGAGATCTGCCTGCTCCACCTCCTAAGTGCTGGAATTAAAGGCATGTGCCACCCCCGCCCAGCTGAACTTCATATTTTTTGTCTTGGCCAAAAAAGTGTATGAAATGAGAGGGGATGACGGCACCCCATTTGCCAAATGTCTGTCCCTTTAGATTTGATGGGGGACCTCCTTCATCCTCCACCCATTGTTGGTTTGCTTTTCTTCCTCTCTCCCTTCCTCCCAGTTTTCTGTCCTTATTACCCCTGCCCCCAACCGCCTCCTCCTCACCCCGTTCCTCCCTTATTTCCTTCATTCAGCCTGCATTTTTTTTTTTTTTTTTTTTTTTTGTCAGTGCTAGGGATGGAACCTGGGGTCTCTGGGGTTGGAAATCCAGGGTTTCAAACATGCTAAGCTCTTGCTCTCCCATTGAACCGTACCTCCAGCCCACTCATCTTTCTTTCTTTTTCTCTTCTGTCTTCCTCCTGTTTATTTGGTTATTTATGGCAGCGTTTCATTAGGTAGTCGAGGTTGACCTCCATCCCTCCATCCATGGCTGCTGTCTTTGGCCCATCTGCTTAGCTGCATGCACCGGTTCTGATATTCTCAGTGTTGTTCTTTTGCTGCAGCTTATGCCTAAGAAACACAAACACGAGACTCAGCGCCCACGTGGAGTTTACTGAGAGAAGGGAGAGAAAGAGGGGGTAGCTGGTGACCAACCGAAAGCAGGAGGGGGGGCAAGAGGGGGAACAAGAGAGAGACAAGAGAGAGAGAGAGGCTCGCTTGGCACGCTAGCTTTAAAAGGGGGACTTGCGCCTGCGTAACTGAGTCCTCTGGCAGCCAGGTAAAGCTTGAGCCACCAGGTAAGGCTGATGTAGAGATGACCTGGCCATGAGCGTTCTGCCCATCGTGGAGGGGGGAAAGGAGGGGGGCTGGGGTCAGCTGGCTGCTAGTTCCTAACACTCAGAGTCAGTGAAGCCTCGCGTTTGCAAGTAAAAGGATGACAAGTACATCGTGTGTGAGTGTGTGTGGCCCCATTCATTTGTACTGCACTGTTGCATTCCTCCCCATCTTCAGAGCAGAGGGCCAGACACCGGCCTGCGCCTGGGTGCACACACTCTATTCTGGAGGGTGGTTGGGAGGGGTGGAAGATTAGGGTTGTCACTGATTGCTGCTGAGGAAGTGAAGCGGGGCGAGGGAGCCCGTTGTGGGACAGGTAGGCTCTGCTGCCTGACATTTGAGCGGCTGCCAGCATCTTTCTGCCTTGTTCTCCTAGCTCTCAGGCACATGACAGAGCCAGGATGGCTGTTATGGATACCAGTCTTTTTGTTGTTTCTCTGTAGTTTTTAGAGGCCGTCCTGGACCTAGCTCTTGTAGATCAGGCTGGTCTCGAACTCACAGAGATCCGCCTGTCCCTGCCTCCCAAGTGCTGGGATTAAAGGCGTGCTGGGATTAAAGGCGTGCGCCACCACCGCTCAGCTATAGATACCAGTCTTAACTTAACCCCGAGTCTGCTTCGCATAGGACTAGGTCCTGCAAGGCGGAGATGGCACTGGCCTCTCACAATGAAAACCTCAACTCTATAGTGTGCTCCGGCTCGCGGAGACGAGAGAGGGAAGGCTTTTGGCCCATAGAGGCACCCGTAGCGAGGGGGCGGAGCCCGGAAGGGAGCAGGATGGCGGCTGTGGACAGTGACAGCGACGAGGACCTGGTCAGCTATGGGACGGGCCTGGAGCCTCTGGAGGAAGGTGAGGGTCCGATGGCCGGCGGGATCTGCAGGGCACAGGCTGGGAGTCCAGCACGTGCGCGCCAGCGACGGCTCCGCCTGGGCCCGAGCTTGCTCGCGGTGGGCACAGGGGCCACGGTGGGGAGGCGTGTGCTCCTCCTCGTGTGCGGCGTTCCTGGGGGCAGAGAAGGACGCCGAGGGGCGGGGGTGCGAGGATGACTAAGCCGCTTGGTTAGGTGGAGGGTGGTCGGGCGGGCTCTTGCCGCCAGGGGGTATTTGCAGCCAGACTGGAGAGCAAAAGAGACTTTGAGATAGGAAATCCCTGGTGTGGGAACCAGGTTAGCAGTCGAGGGCAGTCAGGACAGGTGTGGTTGGCACTTGCAATGGTAAGGGGTTTGGGGTGTGTGTGTGTTTGGGGTGTGTGTGTGTGTGCGCGCTCGAGTGTGTATGTTTGGGGTGTGTGTGTGTGCGTGTATGTGTTGCTGAGGATGGAACCCAACATCTCGTGTATGCTAGGCTAGCACTGATGTGGTTGGCAGGTGCAATGTTAAGGGGTTTGGGGTGTGTGTGTGTGTGTGTGTGTGTGTGTTGCTGTGTGTGTGTGTGTGTGTGTGTGTGTGTGTGTGTGTGTTGCTGAAGATGGAACCCGGCATCTCGTGTATGCTAGGCTAGCACTTTAAAACTGACTTGCGCATCCAGCCCCACGAATTAGACTCTCTTTTCAGACAGGGCCTCAGGTAGCACACGCTACCTCACAAACCACTATATAGCCGAGACTGGCCATGTCTTGATCCTCCTGTCCTTGCTTTCCACATGTTTGGTTTATAACTGTGTGCCATCACATCCAACTAGAAGTTTGACTCCTATATTAAGGGTAGGAAAAGCCGATGGTGCAGTTTATCTAAGGAGAGATGTATTTGTTTTTTCCCCTAGCTTAAGACAGGGCCTTGCTATCTGCATCTGGCTGCACTCACAGAGACCTCCCTCCCTCTGCCTCCCATTGCTGGGAGTAAAGGCGTGATTCACCACTGCCTGACAGGATGTATATTTTAACACTGTTCGCTTCACTTTTGAGAATAGTTTGGTTTGGGATGTGCAGAATGGAGCTGGGAAATTAGCCAGAAAGGTTGGGAGATAGTGGCTGTGTGGCCTGGAGAGGTAGCAGTGAGCACTGTTAAGTGGCCCTTTGTATGGGATAGACTTGGAAAACAAGGTTGGTTGACTAGCATTGCTGGTGAGGTACAGGGGTGAAGGTAAGATGAACGGAGGTTCTCTGGTGTTTCTGGTCTATTGCACTAAATGATTGGCTTTACCTACTGGGTGTCCACAACCACTGATGGCAGTAGGGTTAACCCTGTGGGGAAGACAGAGGGATCCGATCACAGTGGTGGTCTTGGGCCCAGAAGTTACCTGCAGATGTTTGTTGGTGAGATTTCCACCTCCTTCCCATCCTGACTACACTCTGTTGGTTCTACTTCTGAGGTATTTTCACTGAGACCTTTTCTTACACACCGTTCCTTTGATTTTCTTTCTGCAACAGTGAGTATGAGATAGGGTCTTTCTATATAACTCAAGCTGACTTTGTACTTGTTAAGTATGTAGATCAGGCTGGGCTTGAACTCAGGACAGTTCTCCTTTCTTAGCCTTCCCAGGGCTGGGATTACAAGTATGCACGTCATACATCCAGTCTGTCTTAGACAGTTCTTCTGAAACAGAGTCTCATGTAGCCTGGGCTAGCCTCAGACTTTTGTATAGTTTGAACTTCTGGTCCTCCTGCTCCCCGTCCCAAGTGCTGAGATCACATGTAGCCCATGCCTAATGTATGGGGTACTTTGGATGAAACTCTGGCTTTTGTGCATGCTAGGCAAGCACTCCCCAACTGAGCTCCCCCCCCAACAGTTCTAGCCTTAGAAACATTTACCAGATTCTGGTTCTGCCCCTACCCTCTGCTAACCAGAGCAGAGAAAGGCTAGTCTCTAGGCATGTTCTTGTTTGAAGGTTGGCCTTGTGTTTCCTGAGACATCTGTTTTATACCCATCACCCTCAGTTCTGTAATAAACTTAAAGTCCTCTCAGCCCTAATTGTAGAGTTCTTCTCCAAGTGGACTGCGGGGTTAAGCAGGGCCATCAGACCTATCTCTAATTCTAGACTGTTTGTTCCCTACATTAGTTATACTGGTAAGCACAATACCCTATGAATAAAATGAATCAATTGATAAATATCTTTGCCTAGAGGAGTTTCAGATTTAGTAAGGAAGAAACTCACAAGATTTGCAAGTGCTAAAATATGTGATGTTATTGGAAACTTTTCTTCACAAGCTCACAGAGAAGCCAGAGAGGAGAGACTGGGTCCTGTGAACCCTGGATAGACTAGCAATGGCAGGAGAGGGCAGGGGTCACCTCTGCATGGCTAGAGCCATGCTGAGCATTCATTCGTATCATTTCTGTATTTCTGGTCCTACAGTTATTTCTTTGAGAAGAGATAAGCTGTTAAACCATCATCTGTTTGACCTTGACTTTTCTAGTGCTTCCTAACTTTACACTATTATTACTGTGGGAAAGTATGCATGCACCACAGTTTGTGTGCAGAGGTCAGGAGACAAACTTGGGGAATCAGTTCTTCTCCACTGTGTAGGTCCCAGAGTTTAAACTCAGGTTGTCTGCCTTGGCAACAAGCACCTTTATCCACTGAGGCGTCTGGTCTGACCTCCAATTCCTCCTGTTTTTAACAAGAGTTAGAAATGAAACAATCTGGTCCAAATATGCATTTGAGGTGAAAGGAAGGACATTGGTTTGTAGACCTCTCTCTCTTTCCCTCTTTCTCTCTCTCCCTTCCTCCCTCCCTCTCTCTCTTTTAATCTAGAAATACACTCTTCTTTTTTGATTTTTTTTTTTTTTTTTTTTTTTTTTTTTAGACAGGGTTTCTCTGTGTAGCCTTGGCTTTCTTGGAACTCGCTATGTAGAGCAGGCTGACCTCAGGATTAGGGTTAGGGCTGGGTTAAGGTTAGGGAGCTCACAATGATCCATCTGCCTCTGACTTCCAAGTACTGGGACAAAGGTGTACATCACCGCTGCCTGGCTAGAAACATTTTTTTTTTTAAGTTTTACGCTATTATTTATGTATATGTGTGTCTTTGTTGGGAAGGGATCTAGTAACATTGTTTTTTAAAAACAGATTTATGTAAACAGAAGTTTGTCCTGCTGGTCCCACAACAAGATGCCACTACAGAGTTATCTTATTATTTAAGCATATGTGTGTCTGTGTGCGTGGAGGGTTGCCAGAAGAGGGACATTGGGAACCCCTGGAGCTTGATTTACAGGCAGTTGTGAGCTGCCTGATGTGAGTGGTAGGACCCGAGCGTAGGCGCTTTGGGGAGAGCAGCAAGTGTCTGTAACCGGTGAGCCATCTCTCCAGCCTCCCTGGAAATACTCTGTTATTTCTCGGTGTTAGAACTTTCCCCACCCCACCCCTCTCCCTCTCCTTCCAGGGAACCCGGGCCTTCCATGTGCTGATCTCTCTCCATCACTGAGCTACATTACAGCCCCATCCACTTTGAAGTTTCTGGCTGCCTTTCACAGTACAGCTAGACCACTAATCACTCTTACTCCTGCTTTGAAGTTGTGACAGGTCAGATGGACACTGGTAGAGGACTGGCTCCTCTGACTTAATTGAGCCTTAATTAAAGTTTCTGGTCCTTGACTGCAGGGTTTATTGGCTAAGTGTTAGCTGGGGTGTTTAGTGACAATCGGGCCTTAGACACGATCACCTCATTCTAGAATTCTCATCTCCAGCCCTCCTGGCCAGAGTCATTTTAGGGCTCTTTTCCTTCTTTTTGGCATTTTGATTGTCACCCTTAAATCTACCTACCTCCGTGCTTCCCGCATCGCAGAGCTTGTCACAGGACCCATAACACTGTGCTCAAGGCCCCTGTACTGTAGACTGCCTTTTCTTCTGGTCACATCTCACACAGTTCCTCTAGTGCAACTGGACCATCTCTGTATACCTGTCATCATGTGTGTGTGTGTGTGTGTGTGTGTGTGTGTGTGTGTGTGTGTGTGTACATGCTTTGGATGACATCGGCGGAGCTGTATGCATGCTAAATATGAGTTATTTATTCTGTTGGGATTCCTCTCTCCCCAAGTCCAGCACTGCCCTACTAGGCCTCCTGTTCGCTGATGGAGGCTAACACTTCTGTTGGAATTGTGTCTTTACCTTCAGCTAACAAAATTCTGCTCATTCTGAGGTCCTTCACATGTACACACACACACACACACACACACACGCACACACACGCATGCACACAGGTCTCTGCTGGGTTCCGTGTTTAGTTTTTCTACGGGAGTCTAGAACTGGGTTTTCTCCAGCGGTGAGGCTCTTGTGAATTTCTAGCTGAGGAATAAATGGGGAACGATGTGGGAGGTAGCTCTAGCTTAGAGACAAGAGTTGAGACCTGGCTCAGCTTTGTGCTTATTAGCTGTGGACCTCGGGCAGTCTTAACAGTACCCTTGTCTAGGTATGATAAGTGAAGCAACTCATCAGTCCCTGATAAGGGAGGAAGTCATTGTTATCAGTGGCAGTGATTACAGTATGGCCTGGCTAAAGTGTCACTTCCTCTCTGCATTTTCCCGTCACCCTGGTTAGAGATGGCACCATCTCGCCAGAAGTTGCAGGAGGCCTGGTCGGTCACACTGCTTGGCTCTCATGACCTGACTCCATATGTCTGCACAGAGTCTCTCCCGTCCCAGGTCAGGAAGGCTGCAAGCATGTACTCACTGTCCCCACCCCCCTACTGGCAGGAAGGCCCTCTCACCTGAGCCCAGAGCTTCTGAGCTGCCTCTTGATGCAAGGTGAGGGAGGGAAGGAAGTCTGCCCCAGAGGCTGCTAAATAGCTCACAGCACTCAGGACATCTCCCCGAAACCAAGACTCATGAATGCAAATTGTCAATAGCACTGAGACTGAGCAATACGACCGAGCCAGGCCCACACAAAGTGGGGCCCGCGTGCGCTAGATTTTTTTAAGAAATGGGGAAAATTGGAGTTGGGGATGTAACTCACTTGGCAGAGTGCTTTCCTGGCACACTTGAAGCCTGCACTGAGTTATCCCCAGCACCCCTGGCGTAGTTCATGTCTGTAATCCTAACTAAAACCCAGGAGGGAGAAATGGGAGGGTCACAAGTTCGAGGTCATCCTCGGCTACATAGTAAGTTTGAGGCTTAGGGGGTCATCCTGGGTATGAAAGACCCAGACTTTGTTGTTGTTGTTGATTTGCTTTTTAAAGAAAACAAAATAAATGGTGAAAATCTTGCACTATGGAACCCTAGGTGCAGTTCAGTTTTTAAAGTAAAAAAGGAGCCATAGCTGGTATTAACTGAGTCTGGCTACGCAAAGGCTTTGTACGTGATTTATTTGTTTATTGATGCTGAGACTGGAGCCCAGAGCATCTTGCATGCTAGGCAAATAAATGCTCCATCTCTGATCTGTTACTCCGTGAAATTTAATTCTTCTTGTTACCACAAAAGAGGGTTTCTACCATTACCCTGGTTTTACAGTTTTAGAAGCCAACCTCTAGAGACAGTGAGTCCTCTGCCTAAGACCAAAAAAATGAATAGTTGCACAGCAGAGGGATTTGAACTCAGACTGCTGGTCTTTTAGTATAGATTTGTTTGTTTTTGCTTGGTAGGGTATTGGAGTGTTTTTTGAGACAGGGTCTCACATTAGCCCAGGCTGGACTTAAACTCACAGCAGTCCTGTTACCCCAGTCTCCCAAGTGCTGGGGTTATAGGCCTGCACCCCTATGCCTGGCTTTGTTTTGTTTTGTTTTGGTTTTTGGTTTTTGAGACAAAGTTTCTCTGTGTTGCTCTGGTTTTCCTGGAACTCACTATGTAGACCAGGCTGGTCTTGAACTCATGGAAATTCACTTGCCTCTGCCTCCTGGCTGCTGGAATTAAAGTCATTCACCACCACTACCCAGCATGCCTGACTTTTTAATTTATTAATTTTGTTTAAAAAGTAAGAACTGGCTGGGCAGTGGTGGTGCACACCTTTAATACTAACTCTTCGGAGGCAGAGGCAGGCAGATCTCTGTTTGAGACCAGCTTGGTCTACAAAGAGAGTTCTAGGACAGCCAGGGCTAATTACACAAAGAAATCCTGTCTGGAAACCCCCCCCCAAAAAAAAAAGAAAGAAAGAAAGAAAGAGAAAGAGCTGATTACTGAGGCAATGGGTAAACCGAACCTTTTTGGGATACCTCACTTATGATAAAAAAATGCTAATAGCAAGGGATACCTCACTTATGATAAAACAAATGCTAATAGCAAGACTAGCAATGCTAGCCAGCATTTTAAATATCCTTCCTGTCTGTCCCTCCTGCTGAATTCTTCACAAACAGTGTCTGATTTCATTCATGACTTTGAAATAGCTACCGGTTTGTTGTCTCTGTGATCGTCTCTAACACACAGTCCTGTCTTACTTCGCCAGTACGGTAGTTAGTGTTAGTGCCATTCACATTTCAGAGCTGGGGCAGCTAAGGCATCAGAGATTCAGCTGCCTGAGGTCCAACACTAAGGACGATGAAGTAAGGGTGGAGTTAGCTTCCAAGAGCTCAGGGCACTGTGACCATGCCCTTAACTGACCACAAGCCTGCTACCTGTTCCAAACATTTGTGCAGAACAGGTATGTGCCACCACACCTGGATTCTCTTTACATTTTAAATAAATTCAGAACTTTGGAGTTACAGGCAGCAGTTTGGGTCAAACACACTGAAAACTTGAGGCTTAAGGCACCGTTGCCTTAGGCTAAAGGAAAGCAGTGCCCTTGCTTGCACATTGTAACAGCCCAGCCCTTTTTAGTCCTGGTAGGAAAAGGAAGGCATGTAAAAATCATTATCTGTGGGCCACTGAGAGGGATCAGTGGGTAAAGGTGCTTGCTGCCAAGTCCAACAAGTTTGATTCCTGGAGCCTACACGGTAAAAAGAGAAACTTGACTTTCAAAAGTTGTCCTCTGCCAGGCATGGTGGCACACACCTTTGATCCCTGCACTTGGGAGGCAGAGGCAGGCAGATCTTTGAGTTCAAGGCCAGCCTGGTCTACAGAAGGAATTTCAGGACAATCAGGACTACACAGAGAAATCCTGCATTGAAAAACAAAACAGCAAAAACAGAAAGTTGCTGTGACATACACACACACTCCATGTCATGTGTTCACACACACACACAGGCACACACAGAGACACATACACATGCTCCATGGCAAGTGTGCACACATAAGCTTACACACACTCCATGGCAGGTGTACACACACACACACAGGCACACACACATCCATGGCATGTGCACACACACAGACGCACACACACACACATCAATTTAAAAAGAGCATTTCATGACTGAGTGGAGAGTCAGAGAAGTTAAGGAAGCTTAAGATTAGAGGGAAAGGGCACTAACTGAAGGGAGTGTTACAAATGAGTGTTGTAGAGAGTCAGAGATGGTGTTCTAGAAAAGGCACAGAGGCAAAGTATTCCCTTTCAGGATTGGTGGTATAACTTGGTAGATACGTGCTTAGCATGCAGACGGCCCTAAACCCCAAACAGCGTTCCTACCACCGAAACCTTCTCGGTGTCGTGTGCCACTCCAGCATCTCACCCCCTTCATTGCCGGGAGCCTTCAACTCCATCCATTCAAACCCTTCCCCCAGTACATATGTATGTGCTTGTAGCCCGAGTCTCACTGTATACTCCTGGCTGGCCTGGAACTATGTACACCAGTTTGACTTTGAACTCATAGACATCCTCCTGCCTCTGCCTCCTAGGTGCTGGGATTAAAAGTGTGTGCCACCATGCCACCAGCCCCAGTATAGTTTTTTAAAAGTGTTTTTATTTGTGTGTGTCTGGGATGTATGTGCACCTGCATATACTTGGTGGGATATACTTGGCAGGAGCTTAGGGGTCAAGGTTGGGAGTTCATCTCCACCCCCCTCCCCTGCCCAAGCGCTGGCTTGTAGACATCCACATTGGCTTATACACAGTCACTGGGGTTTGCACAGCACTGTCCACTGAGCATCTCTCCAGCCCTAATTTGGATTTCGTAATGAAATTCAGTAGGAAAAGGAGAATGTTTTTATCTTTGCTGTGATGTGTGTATGTGTGCATGTTTATGTGTGTGAACATATGTGTGCATGGCGTGAGTGTGTTGGACCTCCTGTGTGCACCAGGCTTGCGGACTTCCAGGGATTCTCCTGTGTGCAATCGGAATGCTGGGATTGCACTCATGGGATACTGGATCTGACTTTTTGTGGGTGGGTGTATTAGTTGCTCGTCTGTTGCTGTGATAAAATGATAAAATGTCATGACCCAAAACACCTTACAGAAGTTTATTTTGGTTTAGGGTTCTTGAGGGAGAGTCCATAATGGCAGGGATGCCTGGAAGCAGACAGCCGGAGTGTGAAGCTGAGAGAGCATATCTCAACAGCACAGTGGGGGAGTGAACTGCAATGGGGGGGGTATAAGCTTTCAAGGCCTGCCCCCAGGGATGTACTTCTCAGGTAGTCCTGGCTGCCCTAGAACTCACTCTGTAGACCAGCCTGTCCTCACGGAGATCCACCTGCCTCCACCTCCCTGTGCTGGGATTAAAGGCATGCACCATGATGGCTGGCAAGGCCACGCCTCTTAAAGATTCCACAACCTCCCTAAATATGGCCACCAGCTGGGGACCAAATCTTCAAATACATGAGCCTGTGGGGGCTGTTCAAACCCCCACCACAATGAATTCTGGGAATGGGAGCCTAAACTTGGGTTCTCATGCGTGTATGGAAGCTCTCTGCCCACGGAGCCATCTCCAGGCTTAGACATTCTTTTTTCTTTTTAATTTAGATTTATTTATTTTTTTTGTGTATGAAGGTTTGCCTGTGTGTATGTATGTACACCATACGCATGCCTGGTGCTGCAGAGGCCAGAAGAGGGCATTGGATCCCCTGAAAGTGGAGTTACAGATGGTTAGGAGCCACCATGTGGGTGCTGGGAATTGAACCCAGGTCCTTTGCAAGAGCAGCCAGTGCTCTTAACCCCTGAGCCAGCGCTCCAGCCCCCAGCTTAGACATTCTTGCACATATTTCTTAGGAGAATGGTTTATTTTATAAACTAGAAGCTAATAAAGTCTAGAAATAGCAGCTTCATATAAATGGTTACACAGAGTTATAAGTGAACAATAATTCATTATGTTTAAGAAGTGACATTTCCCTACAATTTCTCTAACTCATCACATCTCTTTTTATTCACTTTCTTTTTTCCCAGGTGAAAGACCAAAGAAACCCGTTCCTCTTCAGGACCAGACTGTCAGGGATGAGAAAGGAAGGTATAAGCGCTTTCACGGAGCCTTTAGTGGCGGCTTCTCTGCAGGATACTTCAATACTGTCGGCTCAAAGGAAGGTATGATGCTGCAGAGGCCAGAGGACCGCTCAAGCGTATGGTTGATGATAGAGCCACTCAAGGGTGTGGATGATAGAGCTCAAGGTTCCCCTCCTAGGTGCTGCTTGTGTAGCTCAGGCTGGCCCCGGGGACTCAAGATTCCCAGCCTCCCGAGTGCTGGGGTGAGAGCCTGAGCTACCATGTCCAGATTCCCTCCTGACCTTGTTTGAACACTTTGGTGCACACACCATAGAACACAGAAACTGTTCTACGAACATCTGGGGCCTCCCAGAGTTGACTTCAGTGCTGTTGGAAGTGAAGGACGGTGTGGAAAACAGGGAGATGCCAACAGGTGACTACAGCCAGATAGTGACTTCCATTTCGTCTGACTTTGCCCTAAGTCCCCTCAGGCAGACTCGCAGCTAATCACCGCCTGCCTCCTCTGCCCCAGTGACAAAGAAAGTCAAGTGTCACAGGTGCTTTGCACATGAGGCAGCTGGGGGTCACAGAGGTTGAGGAGCCAGAATAACATCACAGCTGCCCAGGAACCTCCTGCCACAGGACTGTGACATGCCAGCTACTGTCTGCTCATGACCTGGAGAAAAAGAAGTTAAAATGTCACACTAGATAGTCTTAGTCTTATCGGTTCTATATTTAAGTACTGCATGCTGTTTTTCTTTTCTTTTTTCCTTTTTTTTTTTTCTTTTTTGGAGACAGGGTCTTACTATATAGACCAGGCTGGCCTTAAACTCACAGAACTTCACCTGCTCTGCCTCCTGAGTGCTGGGATTAAAGGTGTGCACCGCCACATTATTTCTTATTCCGGGGAATAGAACCCTGAACCTCACTGCAGGCTAAAGCAGCCATTCTACTACTGAGCTAAGTCCCTAGTTCCCAAACTGTCACATAGGAGGAACACTGCAAACTGGAGGCTAGTCTGGTTACAAGTGAGTTCCTGGCTGTCCATACCTCATCTTAATAAAGCAAACAAACAGCAGGTAAAATACCGTCTAGGGTCATAAGCGTCTAAATTTCTTTCCTTCCAGGATGGACACCTTCTACCTTCGTGTCTTCAAGACAGAACAGGGCAGACAAATCTGTTCTTGGACCTGAAGATTTTATGGATGAAGAGGTAGGCCAGGCAGTGACACAGTGTCCTTGGCTGTGGCACCTTCCTTGTCCCCAGAAAGCACGATAGAAACTTTCCTCCTCGTAAATACTTGTGATGCAGGGCCCTGTGCACCAGTGCACTCCCTCACTCAAGCAGCGTCTGTGCTGGGGACGGTGGGACAGAGTCTGAAGTCAGGAATGTCATGTACAGGCAAATGTCCGCGAAAATCTCCAGTTGCCCTAACTCAGTATCCATGGTGCTGAGCCTGTGGCTTTTCTGTCGCCCCAAAGCACCCCTTGGTTTAAGGGACTGACAGCTAGGCTAAAATGAAACTCCCGTGGCCTTAAAAGCCAGGCATGGGTTCACTTGTGAGCCCATCAAGCACAGTGCAACCGTAAGCTGTACGCTACCAGGAGGATGACAAGGAGGCCTTTAGAGACAAAACAATGGGTCTTGCTATGTAGCTGAGGCTGGCTCTGAACTTGAAACCCCCCTGCTTCAGCCTCCTCTAGTTCTAGGATCACAGGCAAGTGCCATCACATCTGACTTCTCTCTCTGCCTTTAAATTTTTATGATTTATTTAACATATATGGGTGTTTTCTCTGCATGTATGTATGAACACCAGAAGAGGGCATTGGATTGCGTGGAACTGCAGTTACAGATAATTGTGAGCTGCTATGTGGGTGCTGGGAATTGAACCCAGGTCCTCTGGAAGAACAGCCAGTGCTCATAACTGCTGAGTCTTCTTCTTTCCAGCCCCCAGACTTCTCTCTTTCTCTCTCTCTTGCATATTTATAGTAAAGCGATCTCTTTAAAATTTTGTTGTTGTGTGTGTGTTAGTACAAGTGCATCTGTTGTATGTATGTGTTAATACAAGTGCGTTTGTTGTGTGTGTTAGCATAAGTGCATTTGTTGTTTGTGTGTGTGTGTGTGTTAGTACAAGTGCATTTGTTGTCTGTGTATAAATGAACTAATTCTGTTTACTTTTCCTTTTTTGCAGGATCTTAGTGAATTTGGGATAGCACCTAAAGCAATTGTTACCACAGATGATTTTGCTTCTAAAACCAAAGACAGAATACGGGAGAAAGCCAGACAACTGGCGGCCGCCGCAGCCCCTATTCCTGGGGCCACACTGCTTGATGATCTCATCACCCCGGCAAAGTGAGAAGGGGCTCATTTCCGGCCTTGGTGCTTTGCACACGTGTGGTGATCTTTCTCAGGGAGACATAGATGTCTGCATGGGAGGCTAAGTGAAGAAGGGGTTTCACTCAGAAGGTCTCCCTTGACCGCTGCAGCGGAACCCTCAGGAGCTCTAGCTTCCAGCCAGCCACTGGGGTCCGTGGCTGGAAGGCTATTAGGAACTGGGGTGGCTTCCCTTCTGGCTTTGTGGGTTCAACCCTGCCTCTGCCCTCCCTTCTGTCCCCCCTCCCCTGCTCGCCTCCCTTTTGCCTTCTTTCTCCTTGCCCTCGGTTTTGATACAGTCCCACAAGCAAGGGTGTAAGTCCTGGTAGCCGCCTAGGAGATTGGAGGGAACAAAAAGGAAAGCCATGCCCTTGAAGTTAGCACGTGGGGAGAGCAAACCCACGGTGGGAGGGAGACTTCGAGAGAGAGCAAGGAGGCCCAAAATGTTGGAGAAGTCCGAAGTGCTAGGGGAAGCATGCTTAGAGAAAAGAAAGGATGCCATCTGACTAAGCGGGCTGACGGAAGAAGCTGCATGGCTCTCACCCGACTCTTGCTTTCTGTCTGCTTTGTCTCCTGCTCCTGGGTGTGTGGTCTGATGTGCTAGCTTCACACTTTCCTGGTATCCCTGAGCCACAGGCTTCCTTGCCCAGAGTCTCTATAGGTCTGTCTCAGAGGCCCAAAGAGGCAGGAGTGTGTCCCCAGGGCAGAGACGATCCCAAGCTCAGGCTCTTCCCCTTGTAACTGTGGGATGAACCAGACAGGACAGGCAAGAGGCACTGGACCAGGAGTCACCATTGCCAGTGAAGTTCACTGCCAATGTTCCCATGTCCTGTAGACTGTCTGTTGGCTTTGAACTGCTAAGAAAAATGGGTTGGAAGGAAGGACAAGGAGTTGGCCCTCGAGTGAAGAGGAAGCCACGCCGACAGAAACCGGGTAAGCCCATTGATTGTGGCCACTTCCACAGGGCACATTTTGGTTTGGTTGGTTTTGTGAGACAGGGTTGTAGTATGAAGTTCAGGCTGCCTGGAACTCTCAGCCTCCCGAGTGCCAGCATTATAGTGATGTGCCATGACTTTTAACTACATCATTTTGCTTTGTTGTTGTTGTTGTTGTTTGTTTTTTGTTTTTTTGAGACAGTTTCTTTGTCTCAACTCTGGCTGTCCTGGTACTTGCTCTGTAGACCAGGCTGGCTTCAAACTCAAAGAGACCCATCTGCCTCTGCCTCTTGAATATATACGGATATTTTATTAATAGCTGGGTATGGTAGCACATACCTTTAATCCCAGCCTTTGGGAGGCAGAGGCAGGTGGATTTCTGTGAGTTGAAGTCCAGGTTGGTCTGCACAGCTCCAGGATAGCCAGGGTTACATAGTGAGACCTTTTCTCAAAGAAAAAAAAAAGTCCTTTATTTATGTATATGTGTATTTGCCTAGTGAGTCTGTATGTGGCACATGTGTGTGCAGGGACTCTGGGAGGCCAGAAGCAGGGTCAGGCCACTGGAACTGGAGTTAACAGAGTATGAGCTGCCATGTGGGTGCTGGGAGTGGAACCCGTATCCCCTGCCTGAGTTAACAAGTGCTTTTAACCAGAGCCATATCTCCAGCTCTACGACATATTTTTGAAAGCTGCACATCCTAGAAACAGACTTCCTGAGTTAGGTGGCGTGCACATCTCTTAAGGTTTTAGGTGTAAGGCATGTACAGGGATTGTACAGGTTCACATTCTCACCACGAGTGTAAAAGTTTGCTTTGCAACCACACCTTAACCAAATCACCGAGTCATAGTTCAACATTATTATTTCCTCCTCCTGCTTCTTTTTATTATTTACTTATTATTTATTTTGGTGCTGGGGGTGGGACACAGGGTTTCACATAGCCCAGGCAAGTACCACACCACTGAGCCACACTACACCTCCAGCATGACAAGGTTCTTTCCTTGTGCTTTGCGTCCCCAGACTGTGAGTGAACTCTTGGAAGATGGGAGTAGTATCCTGTGGGTCTATGCAGGATGTTATTGGGACACAGGTCAGGGTGAGCCTGTCATCCACCTGAGACCCTAAGGCTGCTGCACTTGTAAAGGTGTCTCTGACTTGGTGTTTATTCTCAGTCACTCAGGACTAATGCCTTTGGGATCTCTTTTGTAGATCCTGGTGTTAAGATCTATGGGTGTGCGTTGCCGCCTGGAGGCTCTGAAGGATCTGAGGTATGTTACAGTAGAATGAGCTACTCTATGATGGTGAAATTTTGGGGTCACAAGCTGGGAATATAGCTCAATGGTAGAGTCTAGCATGTGCAAAGCCTTGGCTTTGATCCCTATCACAGAGAAAAAATAAAAACTGCCAGGCATGCTGGTGTACACCAATAATCTAAGTCGTAAGCAGTCTGAGGCCAAAAGGAAGGTCTCAAGATCTAGACTAGTTTGAGCTATATAGTGAGACTCTGCCTCCAAAAACAGTGAGATGGCTCAATGGGTAAAGGTGATTGCTGTCAAGCTCATTTCCTGAGTTTGATCCCTGGAACCCACTATATAAGGAGAGAACCAACCCACACAAGTTGTCCTTTGACCTCTACTCGGACTCTATGGAATGCATGCCTGCCTATGTGCATATAGTTTCTCCCACACAAACAAACAAACAAGTAAGTAAATTAATAAATGTGATTAAAGAAAAAAAATGCAACAACAGCAAAAGATCCAGACAGACAAAACACCCAAGCAAATACATAAATACATAGTAAAGTCATAAACAATTTTAGGAATCTGTTAGATTTCACTGTCATAAAACATCCTTACCTTAAAGCTGTCATTACTATGTTAGAGGATATAGTCAGCAATTTGCTAGCACTATAGAAATCCCAACTCTTATTATTTGTTGTTGATTAATCAAATGAGACAGGATCTCATTCTGAGGCCTGGCTGATCCCAAACTCACTGTATAGACCAGCCTGTCCTTGAGCTCACAGAGACCCACCTGCCTCTGCCTCCCTGATGATGGGATTCAAGTTGTACACCACCATGTCTTGTTAGTGCTTATTTATTTCTTGTGATGGGGTTTGAAACTAGGGCCTTGCATGCTAAGCTCATGCTGTACCTCTGAGCTCGATCCCTGCCCTTGTTTTAAATTCTTCTCTTTTAAAAAATTATTTTTATTTAGTGTATGTGCAGGCGCCCACCAAGGTCAGAAGGGGGCATCAGATCCCCAGAGTTTCGGGCAGTTGTGAGCTGCCGGATGTGGCTGCTGGGCACTGAGCTCTGGTCCTCTGCAAGTGCAGAGCATGCTCTTAACGGCCAAGCCATCTCTCCAGCCTCGGTTTCTGGAGTTGCATCATTTCTTTAGGGGTGGGATCTGGCCATTCCTGGCAACAGAAACTTGAGTTTGGCCACTGTTCTGTTTGGAGTTAGTCACTGCACTCCAAGGCCTTGACGCCCTGAGTGACTCATCTTAACTCCCCCCCCCCCACGTGAATAGGAGGAGGATGATGACTACCTGCCCGATAATGTGACTTTTGCTCCTAAAGACGTCATGCCTGTGGATTTCACACCTAAAGATAACGTTCATGGGCTGGCCTACAAGGGCCTGGACCCCCGCCAAGCACTGTTTGGAAGGCCAGGAGAGCATCTGAATTTTTTTGGTGGAGCATCTGAGGGGACCAGCCATCTTCTTGAAGATGTTGGACTGAGTAAAGGAAGAAAATTGGGAATTTCTGGCCAGGTAAAAGTTTTTGTATTGTACAAGCAGAAACACTGACAAATAGCTCTACTTCCTGTCTTAGGTCAGCCCCATAGTAGGCACTTTGTTTATTCAGTAAGGACTTTGAAGTTCTGTCCTGCCCCCCATCCCCCTCTATTCTCTCTTTTCTCTCTCTCTGTTTCTTTCTGTTCCAATGCTGGGCCTGGAACCCAGGGCCTTGTTTACACTAGGCAGGTACTTTTTTACTGAGCCATATGCCCAACCCCAGGTTCTATTTTCCTGAAGGTTCTTCTTGGACACCTGTGATGTGTGTCTTTCCAGTTCTTCTTCTTCTTCTTCTCCTTCTTCTTTTTAGATTTATTTATTTATTTATTTATTTATTATGTATACAGTGTTCTATCTGCATGTATGCCTGCAGGCCAGAAGAGGGCACCAGATCTCATTACAGGTGGTTGTAAGCCACCATGTGGTTGCTGGGAATTGAACTAAGGACCTCTGGAAGGGCAGCCAGTGCTCTTAACTGTAACGTGATAAATAAAAGACCCAGAGACTGATATTGGGGTTCAAACTTCAAGCTGAAGATCAGAAAAGCAAAGCAGCTGGTCACTAGCTCTTAACTCTACCTCAGACTGAAAGGTAGATCCTGGCTCTACCAAACCTCAGACTGAAGCCTCTCGTCAGCGTGGCTGGAGAGTCCTGAGACTTCAGTGTCTTCCTGTCCTCAATGTGGCTGGAGAATGAATGCCAGCTCTGAGACCCTGCTCTTGTCTTATATACCCCCTAAGTGCTGGAATTAAATGCTTGTGATCCCAGGTGCTGGGATCAAAGGCATGAGCTCTGTTACTCTTCACTCTTACATAGGGCATGGTGGCCTTGAACTAACTGAGACCAATCTACCTCTTAACCCTGACTCCTGGGATTAAAGGTGTGTGCCACCACTGCCTGACCTCTGTTGCTTGTTCCTGACTTTGCTTTCTGAATCCTCAGGCAAGCTTTAATAAATTATGAATGATATATCACCACACTTAACCTCTGAGCCATTTCTCTAGCCCCCATCATGCCTTCCTAAAATTACCAATGGTGCCCAAGAGCTTGTGGCGTGTTCTTGGAGGAAAACCATTCCCGGCTGTAGGATTGTTTCTCCCATCCACTTGGGGCCAAGCAGAGCAGCACCTTTCCAGTGCTTTCTTTAGTCTAATTGCAATCTGGGGCCTGCAAGATGACCCAACAGGTGAATAAAGCCACTTAGTTCTGAGCCTGCCTCCTTTGTTACTTTGCACACCCCAAGCCACTTTGACTTGGAGGTGGTTTTACTTTTGGAAAGATGGGGAGCTTTCAATTGCCCACCTTCTTATGTGGATTCACAGGTTCTTTCTTAAAAGGAAAGTAGGTCAGTGTGATGGTGTCCACTTTTAATTCCCATACTTGGAAGGCAGAGGCAGGTGCAGCTTTGAGTTCAGGCCAGCCTGGGCTACATTAACAAGTTTCAGGCCAACCAGGGCTACAGAGTGAGATAGTATCTCAGAAAAAAAAAAAAAAAAAAAAAAAAAAAAGAAAGAAAAGAAAATGGTTAATTTGTTTCATTGCCTTTTCTTTCCTTGTATGCCTTCTTCATTCTTCCAACGAAAATGAACATGCTCAGACTGTTTCCCAGTCTTCAGACCTTGGCCATGCTGACCAGAGATAGGCAGGCAGTCATGTCTGCCCTTCTCCTTTCAGAGCTCTGTTTCTGCTATTCAGTGCTGTGTGGCTGTTCCTCACATCTCTGCCTGTGCTGTGCTGGAAGCTGCTGCTGGGGCTGGAGGATTGTGCCTGTGCTGGAGTGTGGCATTCACTTCTGGTCATTGCTTTCCAGTAGCCTGGAGGTTCCTCTAATCTGGGTTTCCACTCGCTGCTCTCCCAGTGATCTGGAAGGACTCGTGTGGTTTACAGGATCCTACGCTTGGTGTAGTTTTGCAGTGTGGATGGACCCCACAGTCTGTGAGCTCGGTTTGAAACCTTGTGTTCTGCAGGCTTTCGGTGTCGGCGCCCTGGAAGAGGAAGATGATGACATCTATGCCACAGAGACTCTGTCCAAGTATGACACTGTGTTGAAGGATGAGGAGCCTGGAGATGGCCTCTATGGCTGGACAGCTCCCAAACAATACAAAAGTCAGAAAGGTAATCCTGACAGCCGGGGCAGCAGGACTGATTATCAGACTCCTGGGAACAAGGGATGCAGTCTCTGACTGGAGTACCAGCTTCTAGAGTAGGGGATATCAAAGATGCAGGATGTGGGGCTGGAGTGACGGCCCAGCGGTTAGGGACACTGCTCTTGCTGAGGACCTGGGTTTGGTTCCCAGCACCTACATGGTGGCTCACAGCCACCTCTAACTCAGGTTCCAGGGGATCTCATGCTCTCTTCTGGCCTTCACAGGCACCAGGTACACACATGGTGTAATACATGTAGACAAAACACCCATCCACATCAAATAAAGATTAATAAAAAAAAAATGGGGGGTGAGAAACACTGGAAGCTGGTATAGTGGCTCTTCCTTGTAATTCTAGCACTTGGAAAGCTGAGGCAGGAGGATCGCTGTGAGTCACACAGTGAAGCCTAGGCCTAGCTGGCCTGCATTGTATCGGATGTGAGGAAGAATTGGGGCTTAAGACACAGTTAAAGCCGGTAGTGAAGATGGGTGTGAACTGAGGAGCTGGAGCAGGCGGCCTGGGACCAGGGACTGGTACCACGTTGTTGTCAGCCAGCAGCGAGGGCTCAGAGGCCAGGGAACTGGAAGGTGGTAGCTGAAGCCAACTTAAACAGCAGGTCAGAACACCAGGCTTGGGGGCCAAGTGACAGCCCGACAGTCTGAAGCACAGCAGAGTTGGGCTAAGCCTGACTCCCCTCGAGTACCCAGGGGCTCTTGTCCCTCAGCTAACTTCTTTTTCAGTTCAGGTCTAACTCTGTAGCCCAGGCTGGCCCCGACGCTGTGCTGTTCTGCCTCCACCTCCCAGGGGCTGGAATTATAGCTGAATTATTATAATGGCGCAGTCTAAATCTGAAGCCCGTGTCTGTGGTGGTTTACGTTAAACTAGCATTCCAGTCTTGCTTCCTAGAAATGGAGCAGGCAATGGACAGGTTGGGGAGTTGGGGGCATCTAACAGTCGCTCAGCACAGTGCCCCAGGCTCAGTCCTAGTACCTTCCTATGCCCAAAAGATGCATAGTTCCACAGATTGTAAACTAGAAGTGTTATTTGTATTGTAATAATAGTTGCATGCTAGCTATTTATGTTATATAGCTAATGTATTGCTATGCCGTCGATAATGGTACGTTAATTATATAACAATGTAAACCACTAATTACTAATTGAGCATACTCTAGAAACTGAAATCATTATCTTACTTATATCAGTAACCAGTATATAAATTAGCTAAATGAATAACCCCACTGTGCCTTACAGTAGTTGATAGTCCTCAATGACGCACATTCTAGGCTTCACTCCTCCGGAATATAGTGCCTCTGTCCTGCTGATGGGCTCCCCAGGAAGCCCGAGCGGCAGCTCCCTGAGTTCTGGGACCTTCCTTCCTTCAGCTGTTCCCAGGACCACAAACCCCGCAGTTCTGACTCTATGAGTTTGGGGATGTTTTGTCTCCTTTTCAAATTTGTACATATTTCCTGCATGTACTCTGTTTTTCTTTTGACTGAGTGAATATAGCCTCATTTCACCCAACCTCCACCGTTGGCTTTGAGGATTTTTTTTTTTTTCTTCCATCGATTAATGAGGCTGGAATGAGTCTTATGTGTGCCTACTCTACAGAGTCATCTTGTGAATCACAGGGCCTTTGTCACAGGGTAGTCTGCAGCCAATGGGCGATGCCCAGCTCCAGTCAGAGGGTGTTGTTCACTCAGTTTCCTTAGTCTGTGGTCTTTATCTACTGTTAGCATTTCATTTACAACAAGAGTTTGTCCTAGGCTGAGATCTCAGCTGACCTGATTGTGTTGCCTGGGAGTCTTATTTGTGCTGTTGCTAAGGAAACTGAGAGACAGACACCCTGGGGCACTGGTGTGAGAAATGACCCTTGCAGTTAGTAGATGACTTTTCTTGAGAACTTTCACTCCACAGAGCACCCCGAGGGCATTTTTCTTTAGTGGGGAGGGATTTTGTGGGGGGGGGGGTATGGCTTGAGTTTAGCTCCGGTTTTTAGAGGTTTTGAGCCTGAGTCCTTGGACTCCTTACTCGGGGACACATCATGGTGGCGGCACCTGTGGTCCCTGCTCTGAAGACTGTGCTTGTCTTGGGAGACGGGGGCTGCTGTCCGGGCAGCTGGGCAGCTGAGGGCTGCTGGGTGACCCTGCATCACTGTGTGAACAGAAGCATGAGGGCTTGAGTGCCATTGTCCCTCAGTGCCCCTTCCCAATGATCTCACCCTGGGGCTGTTTATGCTCTGGAAGATAAGAAGTCTTTTGTCTGCTCTAATTACCTCCACTTCTAGCATTAATTAGTAATGATGTCATTTTGTAGAACCAGAGAGAGATCTTCGATATGTTGGCAAAATTTTGGAAGGATTTTCCTTGTCTTCTAAACCTCTATCTTCAAAAAAAGTAAGAAAACATTTACATTAAAATTATTTTCCTGGCTTGGTGCTTACAATGTTTATTGTGTGTGTGTGTGTGTGTGTCTAGTTTTTTTGTTTTGTTTTGAGACAGGGTTTCTCTGTGGCTTTGGAGGCTGTCCTGGAACTAGCTGGTCTCAAAGTCACAGAGATCCACCTGCCTCTGCTTCTGCCTCCCAAGTGCTGGGATTAAAGGCGTGTGCCACTACCGCCTGGCTATTTTTATATTTATGTATTCTTTATTTTAATGTTTATTTATGATAGTAAGTAATTAATTAAGCTATATCAATGTACTTACAGAAATTTGATATTTCCATATACATGTTCTTCCTTTAAAACTCTTCAAGAAGAAAGCTGGGTGTGGTGGTGCATGCCTGTAATCCTAACACTTGGGAGCTGAGGCAGAAGAATCGTGTTCTGAGCCAACCCAGGACCAAGATCCTGTTTCACAAAAGGGTGACTGGGGAGACACATATCACATAGCTCAGCCAATAAAGTACTCAAGACATGAATTCATTTCCCAAACCCACCTCAGAAAAGCCAGTGTGGTGGCTGTCCTTGTCACCTAGTCTGTGGAGGCAGAAACGGGAAGCCTCCTGAGGCTCACTGGGCCGCAGCAGAGCCTACTTGACAGGGCTGGAGAGGTGGCTCCTCGGTTAAGATCACTGGCTGCTCTTCTAGAAGACCCAGGTGTGATCAGCTCACAGTTGTGACTCCAGTTCCGGTGAATCTGACTCCCTCTTCTGACTTCTGGCACCAGACACACATGTGGTGCATAGACATACAAGCAAAACACCCATACAATTTGGGGGGGGGGAGACATTTCTATTAACAGATAGGCCAGACATGTGGCCCAGTGGTTAAATTCCCAGCACCACAAAACAACTCCCACACTCTTGAACCTTGCTAGAAGGCTGTTCTGTCCTGTCACTTTCAGATTAGCTTTGTGTTTTGGGAATATTGCTCAGGGGAGAGTGCTCACCTATCATGTGCAAGTAAGCACCCCCCCACACACACACAGCAAGAGTGGTTTCCTGGTAGTAGTGATTCCACCATGTCCTAGGGAATTGGAAACCCTAAGGACCGGCTATAGACATCAACATGGTGGAAAGTTCTCAGGCCAGCATGCACCTGGGACTGGGTGCTTCGCCTGGGCCTGAGCTCAGAGCTGACTTGCTTCCCACTCTTGGGAAACTTCTAATTCTAGAAGTCAATGTACAGACAACTGTTAATCTGTTTGTTATATTAAGAGCAAGGGGACCATTCAGTAGTCACTTAAAATCTCTTAATGGCTGGGTATGTGGTGCACACCTTTAATCCTAGCACTCAGGAGGCAGACAGATCTCTGAGTTTTGAGGTCAGCCTGGTGTACAGAGTGAGTTCCAGGACAGCCAGAGCTACATAGTATAATTGTTGGAAAAAAAAAAAAAAACCTGTCAGGCTCAGTAATAGAGATTTTACTGTGTGTGCAAGGTCCATCACATAAACAACCACACCCCACTTTGTTTTAACTTTCCTGTTCTGCAGTCATTAATATCTCCAGATTATAAATCTTGAAATTTCAAATATATGTAAATTTCAGTCTTGTCAATTCCCCCCCACCCCCCCACCCCGTCTTTTGCTAAGGTTTGCTCCTAAGACCCCATGCATGCTAGGCAAGCACTTTCACACTGAGCTACACCCTAGCTTGTCCTTGTTGTTTTGTTTGGTGGCGGTGGGTGGTGGTTTAGAGGACTGAACCCAGGATCTTGTGACTGCTCTATAAACACTGTAACTAAGCCACATCCTCAGCTCTACTCAGTGTTAAATTTTAAAAAATAAATACTTTGAATTAAGAAGTAAAGTCAGGGCAGGAGACTGGAGGGATGGCTCAGTGGTTAAGAGCATTTGCTGCTTAATCTTGAGGAGTGGAGTTTGGACCCTAGCACCCACAGATACCTATTATTCTAGTGCCAAGGGCTCCATGTTCTTACCTGGCCTCTGAGGGCACCTGTACACACTGTACACATACATTTACACAGCAGGCACACACATTCACAAGTAAAAGTAAATAAACTTTAGGAAATGAAGGTCCCAAGTTTTACTTTAGAAGTGAACCATAGCCTGAATAAAGAGTTTCAAATTTAAAACTACCGAATTTCAAATTTGTTTTTTTTTTTTCTTCAAAGTCTTGAATCACACATTTGTAATGTTTTGTCTTACAGTGGTCTAGGTGTGTGTGTGGTGGGGGAGGATCCCGTGCTGTGTCTTCTCACATTTGGTGTTCTCATCCACGGGAAACAAATATTAGCAGTGGTGATGTTTGCAGGATGGGACCGACCATTGAGACAGTGGCTCTGGTGCCCCAGGGCCAGGCTGTTGCACTGCTGCCCACCTCCTAGTTGTGGGCTGCTCCTGGTTTTCTCTGTGAAGTCCGTGATCTTGCAGCCTGGATCTCCTGACCTTTGCTTTGTCTGCTTTTGTTAAGATTTATCCACCCCCTCAGCTGCCCAGAGACTATCGGCCAGTGCACTATTTCAGACCTGTGGTGGCCCCAACGTCTGAGAACGCTCACTTACTTCAGGTGTTATCAGAGTCATCTGGGAAAGCAGGACAAGATGCGGGAACACACAGTAGGCATCAGCTCAATGCCTCCAAGCGGGGGGAGATGCTAGGAGAGATGCCCGTCCAAGGTATGTGCACGGGAGGAGACTGGACGTGTTATGGTAGCATAATCTTACTTAGATGGGGTTGTGGTTCCCACTGATGTTCCTCATATGCATTTTGTATTCTCAGGCTGTGGGAGCCGTGCCATGGATTATAAATGGCACACGAACGTGAAGGTGTACAGAGACTATATCATTATTACTTGGTGGTTCTTTTCGCTGCCCCTCCATTTATTTTTCTTTTAAGGTCTCGTGTAGCCCTAAATTCTCAGTGTGACCAAGGATGGTTTTGAACTCTTGGCTCTGCCACCTCTGTCACACACTGCTGAGATTACAGGAGTGTGACACTTAGGTTATTTGTTTTCCTTTTAAAAAAAAAAAAAAACAACTTACTTAAGCCAAGCAGTGGTGGCACACGTCTTTGATCCCAGCACTTGGGAGGCAGAGGCAGGTGGGTCTCAGTGAGTTTGATGCCAGCCTGGTCTACAGAGTGAGTTCCAGGACAGCCAGGACTGTTATAGAGAGAAACCCTGCCTCAAACAACCAAAAACAATTATTTATATTTTATTAAAATTTATTTATATGTATATGTGTGTATGTGTGTGCATATTCATACTGGTGTCTACAGAAGCCAGAAAAGGGTGTTGGATCCCCTGGAGTTAGGGTTATAGGTGGCTGCAAGCTGCCTGACGTACGTATCAGGTATCTACAAAAGCAGTACCTATTAAGCCATCTCTACCCCCTCTTCATTTTTGTGTGTTTGTTTTTTGAGGCCCTATGGGACTCTATGCAGTCCTGGCTGTCCTGGAACTCACTGTATAGAACAGGCGGCTTTAAACTCATAGAGATCTTCCTGGTTCTGCCTCTCAAGTGATGGGATTAAAGGCCTGTGCCACTGTGCCTGGCCTGTCTGTTTTGTTGTTGTTTTGAGAAGGCACTCACTGTGTAGACCCCTGCCAGCCTAGATTCTTTGTTTAGTTCTATCAGCTTCTTGAGCCTTGGGATTACAGACATGCACCACCATGCCTAGCACCTTCAATTGTGTGTGTGTGCGTGTGTGTGTGTGTGTGTGTGTGTGTGTGTGTGTGTGTACATGTTCCACAGTACCTGTATGGAAGTCAGAGAACAATTTGTAGAAGTCCGTTCTCTCCTTCTACCATGTAGGTCCTAGGGATTGAACTCAGATTGTCAGGCTTGGGGGCAAGAGCCTTTACCCACTGAGCCATCTTACCAACTTATTTATTTATTTAGAAACAAGACCTTCGTCTGTACCCCAGGCTGGCCTTGAACTCATGATAACCCTGCCTTAGCCTCCCACACACATTCCAGGATTATAGATGTGAGCCATCACTGTTTTTCCGTTGCAGTCCACTTCCTTCCCATTTTAGGACTGAGAGGCCGCCCAGCCCCGGGCCAGTGTCTACTGTGGAGTTGGTACCCAGTGAGCGTCTGTGACATGACTGCTCAGTGGGAGAACTATGGGAGCCATGACCATAGCCGCCTGTGGTTCAGAGTCCTCATCCTGGGCATGGAACATATTCTAGGCTTTTGCTGCTCCTCAGTTGTATGCATTTTTGTCAACTGCCCCATTATTATGTAATATATAGTTCACAGGGATATGTAAATATTGGTGAAACAGTAAGCTAAGCAGTCATCTCTGATTGTGTACCTCTTTAATAGTGACTATGTACAGCCACATGGTGGTGGCACTCGCCTTTGATCCCAGGACTTGGGAGGCAGAGGCACGTGGATCTCTGAGTTCGAGGCCAGCCTGGTCTACAGAGCGAGTTCCAGGACAGCCCAGGCTGTTACACTGAGAAACCCTGCCTCGAAAAACAAAAAAGGAAAAAGAAACAGTGTCTGTGTACAACAAAAGGTAAATCTATTTTTCGTCTCTCTCTCTCTCTCTCTCTCTTTTTATAATCTAGGGTCAGCTACTTCAGTATTGGAGTTTCTGTCCCAGAAAGACAGAGAAAGAATTAAAGAAACGAAGCAGGCATCTGAGCTGAAAGCCGCTCAGGCCAGGGCCCAGAGTCTGGCGCAGATGGCCTCCAGCAGCAGAGGGCAGGCCTCCACGCCCGACCTGGAATCCAGCTCAAGGCATCTGGCGCTGGGCGGTGGGACAGCCACAAGAGCCAGCAACTTCAAGCCTTTTGCCAAAGACCCTGAAAAGCAGAGGCGATATGAAGAGTTCTTAGTTCACATGAAGAAGGGCCAGAAAGGTAGGTGCCGGCCTGACCTGGGCGGCAGCCTCTCTGCTGCTCCTGCTCACAGGCTGAAAGTCAAATGCCCTGATCTGCTTTCATGTTTGACCCTAAAAAGTAAACACATGGTAGAAATAGAGTTAAACCTTCAATACCAGTACTGGGGTGTCTGAGGCAGCAGAATCAAGAGTTCAAGGCCAGCTCTAGCTATGTAGCAAGTCCTTGTCTCAAAAATAAAAAGCAAAGCAAAACAAAAATTACAGAAAAATGATAAAGAGCACAGGCTGTAGTTGGACGGACCGGACCAGTGGTCCTTAGCCAAGCTTCAGTTTTCTAGATCTCTCTGTACTATGTGATAGGTAGAAGTCGGTAAAAAGCATCTTAGTGGTTCAGGGCTGGAGAGCTGGCTCAGGGTCCTCTTGCAGAGGACCTGGGTTTGATTAGTGGCACCCACATGGCAGCTTATAACCATCCATAACTGCAGTTCCGGGGGGCCCAACAGATGTACATACACATGCTGCACAAACGTAACGTTCATACACATAAAGTAAGATGAACCTGAGAAAAAGAAACGTCATATGAAGGATGGACTGACATTGCCTGGAGGTGGCACCGAGTGTGCTCCATCTCCACACAAGGGTCTGGACATTCGTCACCCCCGAGGAAGTGCACCCATGTGGTGGCCACCTGATGCTCTCCGTCGAGCACCGTGTTTTCCTTGGAGTAAAATAATGCCTCGTTCCCCATGCCGCAGATGCTCTGGAACGATGCCTGGACCCCAGCATGACCGAGTGGGAGCGAAGCCGAGAGCGGGAGGAATTTGCTCGGGCGGCCCAGCTCTATGTGTCTTCCCACTCCACCCTGTCCTCCCGGTTCACTCACGCCAAGGAGGACGACGACTCAGATCAGGTTGAAGTTCCTCGAGACCAAGAGGTCTGTCGCCATCATGTGCCTACCTGGTGAATTTCATTTTGTGATTCTGCAGTTGTAGGGATTGAATTGAATTCAGGCTTTCCTACATGTTATGTGCATGGTCTAACCACGAGGCTACAGTCCCAAGCTCCTAGTCAGTTTTATTGTGGGTGTGTATACTGTGTCTTAGGTACATTTGCATGTATGAGCACATATGTGTGCATGTGTAAGCCTAAGGTCAACATTGGATGTCTTTCTCAATTGCTCTACAACTTATGTAGTTTTTTGTTTTGGTTTGGTTTCTGTGACAGGGTCTCGTATCAGCCAGCTGGCCTGAAACTCTTTTTGTGCCTTGGTCTTCCGAGTGCCGGGATTGCAGGTGTGAGCCACCACATCTGGCTCACTGGTTTCACTGAACTAGGAGCTCCTTGATTGAGCTAGGTGTGCTAGCCAGTGAGCTGCAGGGACCCACCAACCCCAACCCACCCAGGGCTGGACTCTGGACACATGCTCTTGCACCCAGCCTTTACATGGGTTCTGGGGATACGAACTCAGGCTCTCAGGCTTATGTGGCACACACTTCTGAAGGAGCCATCTTCCCAGCTCCCCCTAGTGATTTTAAAATTAAAAACACCACGCACCTAAATATTTTAAATCATGAAAAAGAGTTCTAAGACAGCTAGGGCTACATAGAGAAATCTCAACTCAAAAAAAAAAAAAAAAATCACCTTCATATATGTGTGTATTTGCATGTGAGTGCAGTGCCTGAGGAGGCCAGGAGAGGGCACTAGATCCCCTGGAGCTAGAGTGATAGGCAGTTGTGAGCTGATGGACTTGGCTGTTGGGAATGGAATTTGGGTCCTCTGCAAGAGCAGCGTGCTGAGCCGTCTCCCCAGCCGACCTTGCTATTTCTAACATGGAAGACTGGTGAAGCCAGTTCTCTGACTACATCTGTCTCTTCCTAGAATGATGTCAGTGACAAGCAGTCAGCTGTGAAGATGAAGATGTTTGGGAAGCTCACCCGAGACACGTTTGAGTGGCACCCTGACAAACTTCTGTGTAAGAGGTTTAATGTCCCTGACCCTTATCCAGGGTAAGTTGGATTAGCCTGTCTTTACATCAGTAAAAGCTATATCCACTCCATGAAAGCTCACTTAAAAACTTTTTTAGATTTACTTTTGTGTTTTGCCTTCATGTGGGCATTAAATCCCCTGGAACTGGAGTTATAGATGGTTGTGAGCCACCATGTGGGTGCTAGAAACTGAAGCTGTGTCCTCTGTAAGAGCAACAAATGCTCTTAACCACTGAGCTGGACTGGAGAGGTGGCTCAGTGGTTGAGAACACTGGCTGCTCTTCCAGAGGTCCTGAGTTCAATTCCCAGCAACCACATGGCTTACAACCATCCGTAATGAGATCTGACGCCCTCTTCTGGCCTGCAGGGATACATGCAGACAGAACACTGTATAGATACTAAAAAATAAATAAATATAAAAAACAAAAACAACAAAATGAGCCATTTTCCAGCCCTGTTAAGGCTCATTTTATATTCTCTCTCTCTCTCTCTCTCTCTCTCTCTCTCTCTCTCTCTCTCTCTCTCTCTCTCTCTCTCTTTGTTTTTTTGGTTTTTTTTGAGACAGGGTTTCTTTCTCTGTGTAGTTTTGGAGCCTGTCCTGGAACTTGCCGGCTTTAACAGGGAAAACACAAGGGTTCTGCCTTCCTGACCTGCTTCGAGAAGTAGAAATGCCTTGAGACCCTGTGGCCTAGCTGGAGAGTGAATGAGAGACAGCAAGCCTCTTAGGAAGAGGGCTTCACCCCAGCGGTTGTTATTAAAATTCCATCTCTTTCCATTCTTATCCCCACCCCACCCCAGCTCAACATTAGTCGGCCTACCCAGAGTGAAGCGGGATAAATACTCAGTCTTCAACTTCCTGACCATCTCAGAGCCAGCCCCTCCGCCCACAGCCCCGAGGCAGCAGCAACAGCAGCCGGGTTCTGACAGTGAGTAGAGATCTCCCTGGGACCTAGGTACTGACCTGGTCTCAACCTCTCATGGGCTGGAAGGCAGAGCAAGGGATGGCGCAGCCCTAAGTGTGATCTTGATGCAGACTCACCCCTTTGAGAGTTGCTTTCATCTGCGCATGGGTGCTTGTCAGTCAGGCCAGGCTAGTGTTTAACCTTAGAGCTTGGGTCTGCCCATGCCTGTCCTAACCCCAGTGCTGTGTTCAGAGCCTGGCCCATGCAAGGTGTACCGCGGCTCGGAGCCTTGAAGAATTTGCCTTCTGTTCACTAATCCCAGTGTTCTGTCGGGTTCTTGCCTTTTAGAATCCAGGAAACCATCCCGATGGGACACATCCCAACAGGAGAAGAAGGAAGACTCCATTAGTGAGTTTTTAAGTCAGGCTAGATCAAAAGTTGGCCCGCCGAGACCAGAACCCAGCGCCTCAGGAAACAAAGAGAAGGAACAAGCCCCGGAGCCATGCCCAGACCAGGTATGGGGCCTCGGCTGTGTCTGCTTGTACCTGTGGCCTGGACCCTTCTCTCTGTGATGTGTTCTCTACTCAGCAGTAGGGGTCAGCAGACCTTTCTGTGCAGTGAGGTGAGTAGTTGAGGCCCCAGGGGCCCAACAGCCTCTGCTGCAGTCCCCATTCTGCAGTGAGCGTGAAGGAGACCACCGTAGGCAAGTGTGCCAGCAACTGAGGGCACTGTTGCCAGAACAACCTTGCTCGTGGAGACCAACAGCAGGTGGATGTGGCCCCGGGTTTTACCTGGCTTGTGCCCGTTAGACTCAACACAATCGGGGCTCTAACTGAGAAAATACATGCTTCTTCTGGCTAGAACAGCCCTGGCTTAGCATCAACCATCGAAACCAAACTTAATGTATTCATATGAGAAGATACAGCTTTCCAAATAATCGGTTGTCATTTTGGGGGTGAAAATACCCCTGGGTTCTCTTATGTCTACTTTGCTCTTTGCACATATGTGGGTCAGAGGACAACCCTGAGAGGGGGGTCCCTCTTCCACCATGTGGGGCTTGGGCATAGAACTCAGGTCGTCAGGCCCGCAGCAAGCACCTTTGCCCTCTGAGCCATCTCACCAGCCTGCTTTGCCTTTTGGGACAAGGTCTCGCTGTTGTAGGCAGGCTGGCCCCGAACTCTTTAGCTTCCGAGTACTGGGATGACAGGCATGTGATCACCACGCCCAGATCAATCTTTTTACGTTTACCTTGTCAATATCATTGTATTTATAGTGGGTTTCTTATAAATAGCATGCCCTTGGGTGATACTTAAAATATTTTTATAATCTTACATTTTGAATATTTATATTAATATAATTATTGATATTTTTGGACCTAGATGCCAAGTTATCATGTATGTAGTTTCTTTACCTTTTTTCATATTCACTGTTGGATTTGAAGGCAGTCTCATGTAGCATAGGCTGGCTTCAAATCGCCTATGTAGCTGAGGTTGGCTCTGAATTTCCCAACCTTCTACCTCCACCTCCCCCGAGTGCTAGAATTCCAAAATGTGGACCACCACACCTGACCTGTGAACACCGTCTGTCTAGTTAGGATTTCTATTGCTGTGAAGAGACACCATGACCGCTTATAAAGTGGACTCTTATAAAGGAAAACCTTTAATTTGGAGGCTTACAGTTCAGAGGTTCAGTCCATTATCATCATGGTAAGAAGCATGGTGGTGTGCAGGCAGACATGGTGCTGGAGAAGAAGCTGAGATCAGTAGGCAACAGGAAGTAGTCTGCCTCACTGGGCGTAGCTTGAGCATAGGAGACCTCAAAGCCCACCTCTACAGTGACACATTTCTTCCAACAAGGCCACACCTCTTAGTGGCTCCCTTTGGGGGCCATGTTCTTTCAAGCCACCATAGCTGGGGGCTCAGCACTTAACACTTACAGGGGAGTTTCACAGTCAAACAGTGGTGGTCGTGGGATTTTAATGACAGAATCATGGAGACCTTTGGCTAGCATCCTACAGGTTTCTGTTCGGTTTCGTTAATCTCTCTTTTTCCTCTCCTTTGTTCGGAGTGGTGCATTTTTGTTGAACTGTTTTCAACGTAATAAACTTTCTGGTGTCATTTCCATTCTGCTGTTGAATACGGTAATGAGTTTTGTTTGTTTGGGGTCTTGGCTGTAGGGGTTACCTCTGTGGCCCAGCTGGCTTCCAGTGCCTGGGCTCCCACAGTGCTCCAGCCCCATGCTCCCAGTAGATGAGACAGGCCTCCACAGCCACCTCTGCAATGGATCAAAATATTTTGATTCTCAGTTTTCCACCTCTAAAATACCCATTCTCCTTTTTATTTTTATTATTTATTTATTTTTGCTAAGACAAGCAGGTCTCTGTAGGCAGGGTTTTTCTATGTTTTGCAGTCACTCCCAAATAATGACACTGAGACTTATTATTACTTATAAATGCTGGGCCAACAGCTCAGGCTTATTACAAACGAGCTCTCGTACCTTAAATTAACCCATTTCTATTAATCTGCATTGTGCCCCATGGTGTTGCCTTCTTTCATCTCGCACCTCCTGTTTCCTCTCTCTGTCTTGCTGGTGACTCCCCTGACTCCGCCCTCCTTCCCAGTGTCCTTAGTTTGGGTCTCCTGCCTAACCTTATCCTGCTGAGCTGTTGGCCAGGCAGCTTCTTTATTAACCCAATCACAGTGACACATATTCCACAGATCTCTGTTAGTTCCAAGCCAGATGGAACCATATAGAGAGGGATCCAGGCCATCCAGACTACATAGGAAGATTGTCTCAAAAAGGAAAAAAACAAAAACAAAAACAAAAAAAGCCCAAAAGTCTGATAAAGCCAACATTTTCGTCATTTCAGTGTCTGTTTCTCATGATGCATTTTCCTCGGTTGTCCATAGCCTGCTGTGGCTTCTTCTCTCTGAGTCTTCTGCAGGTCTGTTAATGGCGGTCTCCAAGACGGGCCTCAGCCACTTACACTTCTGAGTATATCCTAGACGAGCCCCACAGAGGAAAACGCTTCATGCTTAACTAGGCAGTGGTGATGGATACCCTAACCCATTTTTTAAAAACGTGTATGAGTGTTTTTCCTGCAAGCACGTCTGTGTACCATGTGTGTGCAGTCCTTGCTGAGGGCAGGACTTCTGATCCCCAGGAAGTGGAGTTACAGGTGGATGGGAGCCGCCACCTGAGTGCTGGAAATCCAATTCAGGACCTCTGGAAGAGCAGCCAGTGCTCTTGACTGCTGAGCCATCCGTCCATCCCCCTAAGGCCAATCTTATTTGTGCTCATGTGCGAGTGGGTGTCCGAAGCATTGAGTCCCTTTATTCCTGACTCTTACATCTCTGTCACAGACTGCACAGGTGGGCGGGGAAGGTGGTCGCCCTTCCATGGACTTATTCAAGGCCATCTTTGCTGGTTCATCTGATGAGAAGTCCTCATCCTCAGAGGAGGAGCAAGAGGAGAGTGAAGACAGTCAAGAGCACACGGAGGAGGCCAGCTTTAAAACTTCCCAGGAGGCTGCCGCCAGGGAGACCCCTGTGACCCAGGGTATGGTCACCTCCCTGACTTGGGCACTCAGGGAGAAGTGAAGGGTTTGTTGTTTGTATGTTGAGCCGGTCTGGCCTTGAACGTCCTGAGGCCAAGCCGGGACCTCTGATTCTCTTTCTCCACCTCCCAGGTTCTGGCTACAGGCCTGTACCACATTTGCCTTTGCAACCTTAAACTAGGACAGTTGCCAGCAATTTGTGATATTTCATCACACACACACACACACACACACCACATAAACTGTGTGTATGCATGTGTGTGTGCGTGTGTATATGCATGCACACTGGAGCCATAGATCAGCCTTAAGTGTCATGCCTCCTGAGCTTTCTTTCTGGGTGTCATGCCTCTATAAACAACTACTTTGCCTTTTGAGAGTAGGTCTCACGGGTGCCTGGGGCTCACCAGATTGTCTAAGCAGCCTGGCTGTCAAGCCCCAGGATCCCACCTGTCCCAGCATTGAAATTACACATGCATGCCATTGCATTGGGCGTTTTGTGTGGTTTCTGGGCTCAAAATGGGTCCTTATACTTGTTTGGCAACAATTTTAGGGATTGAGCCATCCCTCCAGCCCTTTCATCAGTGTGTGTGTGTGTTCAAGACAGGGTTTCTCGGTAGCCCTGGCTGTCCTGGAACTTGCTCTGTAGACCAGGCTGGCCTCAAACTCACAGAGATCAGCCTGCCTCTGCCTCCTGAGTGCTGGGATTTAAGGGTTGTACCACCACCGCCTGGCCCTCATCATTATATTTTAATTTGTATGAGCAGAGTCCTGGGTAGTGGTTCTTTTTAAGAATCTAATTTACATCTCTGATGTATATTTTAAAGATATGTTTGACAATGTTGATTTCCCAACTTAGCCTTGTTAAGGAGAACTGAAAAAAGTACAATTTTTCTTTTAAAAATGTTTTTTCTAAGGGTTGTGGGTGGAGCTCAGTATGTAGCTTGGGCAAGATCCTAGGTTCTTTCTCTCTCTGCCTGGTTGCTGAGGGAGTGTTAGGGTTCTGGGAAAACACTGGGTCCTAAAGCATACAAGGATGTTCAGGTTCTGTCTATGGGACCTGGCATGCTTTGCTAGCTCTCCAGGCATAGTCTGACATACTAACCCTCGGGAAGAGGGTGTCCTCTCATTTTCTGGGCTCCACACCTGCCCAGAAAGCTGGCCTGCTTGATCTGTGCACCTCCTTGAGCATTCCAGACGGGAAACAAGAGGCGGTCTGAAGCAGGGAAACTTCAGGAAGCTGGTGCCATGGGCAGTTTCCCATCTGCATCTTGGGAGGTTCTGTCTGCCCTGACACCTGAATATAACCGGTCTGTCACACAGGGCTGTGATACAATGTTAAGTTTTAGATGATTGTAATATTGATTTCTTTATTCCCCCTGTGGATGAACCCTTATTTATTTATTTATTTATTTATTTATTATAAAGTTATGTATACTTGAAATTTAAATGTGTAAAAGTAGTCTGGGTGTGGTGGCACATGCCTTAAACTCCACACTCGGGAGGTAGAGGCAGGTGGATCTCTGGGGCTTCAAGGACAGCTTTATCTGCTTAGTGAGTTCCGCTACAGCCAGCACTCACAGTGAGAGACCCTGTTTCCAACAAAAACGTTAAAAAGTAACAAGATAGCTGAGTGGTAGAGTGCCTGCCTCCCACGCACAGGGACCCGGGCCTGATCCCCATAGACTGTACATGCCCAGGAGTGGTGTACAGATAGGAAGCCATCCTCAGCTACATAAGGAGTTCAAGGTTACCCTAAGCTACGCAAGATTGTCTCAAGGAAAAAATGATCTGGAGTGCTTCCTGTGGACAGCCGGCCATGCACTTGGTTCTTTGTGGCCTAGTATAGCTGATCTCCCAGCCCCAGTGTCCACAGGCAGAGGTGGCCTTCACCGTGTGCGACCCTGTGTGCTCAGCGCTGCTACTTCAGCAGAGTCAGTGGCAAAGACACCCAGACTCAAATGCATTAGCGTGGGCAGATGAAATTGATACACTGCTGTTTTTCAGCTGCTGAGCGGGAGCCTTGTGAGCCTGCAGCCCCCTTCCCCATCCAAAAGGTACAGATCGATGAGCGAGAAGAGTTTGGACCTCGCCTACCTCCTGTCTTCTGCCCCAGTGAGTCCACACCCCTATGTGCCACCCCTGCAAAGAACAGCGCCAGTAATGCCCCTCCCACCTGCCTGCCTGACCCCACACCCACCAAGTGCTCTGGAGTGTTCCTGATTATAGTCACACCGGGCACCAGCTGCCTCCACTGAGTGCCTGAGCCACAATTGTTTCTCTACAGTATCAAAGCTCAACACGCTCTTTCCTTCTCACCTTTGAGATGTTGGAAGCATCTTAAGTGTCGTCATTTAACAGGGCTGGTGTGGTGCTATAACCCGAGCACTCAGGACACTGAGGCAGGAGGATCACAAGTTTGAGGCTAGTCAGCCCCTGTCTTAAAAATAAACTCACTTTTGGAAATGAAGAAGCAGCACACACCTTTAATCCCAGCACTCCAGAGGCAGAGGTAGGGGGATCTCTAAATCTACAGACAGCCAGGGCTACATATTGAGACTTTGTTTCAAAAAAAAAAAAAAAAAAAAAAAAAAAAAAAAGACGGTTGTGGCATTGTGGACAGAAGTGTATTTTCGGGTTCTGATGGACTTTGGCTAACAGCAAATAAAATCAGACTATTCCTTCAACTGTAGGCACAGGCCAGCCCTCCTCCCTAGTGCCTTCAGCAGCTTCTGCGTAGGGCCGGATGCTAACATCCTCTGTGAAAATGTTCAGACTTTTTTTTTTTAACTATGGCTCTGAAGGCCAGGCTAACAAATACGATAACACCGCCCAGCTAGATAAGTAGCACGTGATTCCACTGCCCAGCATGAAACTTCCTGTAGTATTCACACCCAAATACTGGCACAGCTGATGACCCCAACTTTCAAAGAATGCCAGCAAGCATGTTTCTCTTGGCTCTGGTCCATGGATATTTGGGACCGATTGGCTGAAGTACTCTGGCTTTTTGTATGTATACCCTTGATATCTCTGACGTAGTTATTAACTTGGTGTGGGGGGTACTTAGAGGATGTGACTTTCAAAAAGTAGGATTAAGAAAACAACCTTGGGGAGGTGAAATTTTGAAGTATCTGACTGACGATGCAGTTAGGAAACTTCGGAGCCTTTTTTAATGATCCCCCTGAGGCTGACATGTTTACCATACCCTCCTCTCCCGCAGACACTCGGCAGAAACTTGAGACACCTCAAAAAGAGAAGCCGAAGAAGAGCAAAGAAAAACACAAGACCAAGAAGGAGCACAAACGGAAGAAAGAGAAGGTGAGCACCCTCACCTCCCGAGAGTGTGGGTGTGGCTGACAAGCCCCAGGAGACACTCAGGTCTCTTAGTGCCTTTATAGATGATAGATTGTTCACATCCAGTGCCAACTCTTTTTTCAGAAACTTTTTTTTTTCTTTTAGAGCTACAAATTTTGAGTAGTTGCACTTAAAAAGAAAGAAAAGAAAACCCTGACCAGGCATTGGTGGCACACGCCTTTAGTCCCAGCACTCGGGAGGCAGAGGCAGGCAGATCTCTGTGGGTTCAAGGCCAGCCTGGCTCCAAACCAATACAGAGGAACCCTGCCTCGAACAAAACAAAAAACAAAAAAGTCTATTAAAAAAAAAAAAAAAAAATCCTGCCTCAAAAAAAAAAAAAAAAAAAAGAAAGAAGTTTGTGCCCAGTCAATCAGGTGTGGCGACAGACAGCTGTAATTCCCTGCTTGCATGGCTGAGGCAGTCCTATGCAGGGTTTGAGGCCAGCCTGGGCTACCTAGCTAGATGCTGTCTTGAAAATATAAATATTTTGGTAATACTGGAAAGTGGGTAGATGGGTAAATAGGTAGGCAGGTAGGTAGACTTTGGACCTGAAGAGATGGCTCGGTGGTTAAACACCCTGGCTGCTTTTGCAGAGGACCAGAGTTTGTGTTCTGGCATCCACAAGAAGGCTCACAACTCTAGCTCCAGTCCCAGGGGATCTGATGCCCTCTTCTGGCTTCTGCAGATGCTGCATGCATATGGTCCACAAGATATACATGGAGGCAGAACACCCATACATATGAAAATAAAAAAATTAAAAAGGATTTGGGGTACTTGATAGTAAAGGTTGAACCTTAAAACTGCTCCCCAGCCACCTCACTGTTACCACGGACTGAGCTCGTGGTCCTTAGTGGTCATTTGGAAAGAAGGAAGCTTGAGAAGAAGGAATGGTGATGGGTTCCGCTGTCACAGTCCCCTCCCTTGTCATCCGTGTGCTCTTCACGGCTTGTAGCCTACAGTCTGGTTGGTTGGTGTGAGTGGCGGATGCCACGGCTTGTAGCCTACAGTCTGGTTGGTTGGTGTGAGTGGCGGATGCTTGTAGGGCCCAGCCCAGGAGTACGGTCAGTGAGAAGCCGCACCGTGGGCGGCGAGCATGGAGTGAAAATTCACAGGTTGGAAAACCAAATCCATATTCTTACCCTTGTTCTTCAGTGACCCCTCCCCTCCTTCTCTCTGCCCTCCCCGATGCTGGCCCTGCTGTGTGCTTTCAGGATGTCCAACAAACTAGTCAGGTTTGTAGGAGAATGGGGCCGGAGAGTCACAATGAGGTCCCGCCTGTATCTGTGTGGCTGTGCTGTGTCCGTGGTTGACATGTTGGGGATACCGACAAGTATACCGTTTAGCGGGTCACAGCTGTTAGTGTCTGGCTGTCACCATTAGGGCAAAGCTCACTCCACCGTATTTTTTTTCAGACAGGGTCTCTCCCCCCAAACCTGGAGCTTGCCACTGCTAGGATGGGACAGTAGGCCTGTGCCACCACATCTGTTGTTTGCATATCGACGCTTGGTCAACAAGAACTTTCCCTTCGCAGCCCCTCCCCGGCCCTTGCTTGCTCAGCTTCCTCGTTTCTTTGAGTCATCAAGGAAAGCCCCCATTTGTCCCGCACTCTCTGACCCTCGTTTTCATTTTCTTTTCCCTAGAAAAAGAAACACAAGAAGCACAAACACAGAAGCGGGCAAAAGAATAAGAAGTCAGAAAGAAGTAGCCCTTCTGAGAGTTCCGACAGCAGCGGCAGCGATGAAGGAGGCCCGGCAGACCTGTCCCCCCAGGAGCTGCTGAGAAGGTAGGTAGGCCCTGCGGGAGGGCGGAGCGTTCCCAAGGCTCAGGAGGGCAGAGCGTTCCCAACGCCCAGGCTTGTCGCAAAATATACAGTATGTGTCGGGAATGAGGGATTTGGCTGAGGGATGGTTGGTGGCACTCACCTGTCACCCCAGCTTTCAGGAGGCCAAGTGAGGAGGACCTCAAATTTAAGGACAATGTGGGCCGCATGGTGTGATATTGTGCCTCAAAAAACCAAAGTGGAGATGAAATAGAAACAGAGAGAAAGAAATTCAGACCCAACCAAAAAAACTCTTTTCTCACGTTAACCTCCTCCATCGGCCTTCTGTTAACTTTCAAGACTTCCATGCAAACACACACGCACTCATACAAATACACACAGGTACACACAATCATATAAACACAACTGCATGCAATGCACAATCGTACGCACACATAATCACATGCATGCATGCAGATACACATAATCATATAAACACACTCACACATACTCACATATGCACACAGTCATATACATGCAATCACACATGCAATCATACACACATGCAGTTACATACACCTATCATGTGCACATTGATGTGCATGTTTAATATATATATTTCCAGGCTGATATAATGTGTATGAGTGTTTGCCTGCACATGCATGCAGTACCCGCAGAGGCCAGGAGGGGGTGTCGGATCCCTTTGAACAGTGGTTGTGAGCGACATGCTGCGGGTCCTCTGCAAGAGCAGCAAGTGCTGGTAACCGCAGAGCCATCTCCCAGCCCCCCCCCCCTTTCCTAGACTATAACATGAATGGCTTCTAGTCCAGCTCCCAATAGAACCCTTGTTCCCTCTGGATGCTGATGAACAGTCCCTACCATCCTGTCTTTCTGTCCACACTCTGCTCTTCCACACTCCCACCAGAATGGTCTATGAAGGGTTACTACAGCTGTGCTACCCAGGCAACAGTAGCTGTGTAATTGCTCCTTTATGTAAATGAAAATGGAGTTGCCTGTTCTGTCCTTGGTTTTCTCCCTAGAGTGAAGCCTGCTGTCGGGTCGCCTCTTCCCTTTGTTCTTTTTGTGGGGAGGTCTGGCTGGCTAGCCCATTCTGGCCTCGAACTTTTGATCTTCTTAGCACCCTCCCCCCCACCCAGGGCTGAGACTCCAGGTGTGCACCACCATGCCCAGCACCCACTGTTATGATAAACGGGGGTCCTTTGCACCTGCATGCTGACCAGGGCACTGCCTGAGTGCATTCTGCCAGGTGACAGGGGCGGGCCAGCACAGTGCCTGAGTCCTTACTCCCACTCGCTTGTATTTTGAAGTTGAAATTTCTGACTGATCCCTGGAAAGCTTTGAGCCCTGAAGTGAACATGGTTTTTGTTCCCTTTCCAAAATGTGAGTGTGTGTGGCATCAGGAGCCGCTGTTAGAAATTGATCCTGAGGCAAGATGTGGGCTTGTGGGTCTCTCTGTGTGCCCTGGGAATAATGGAAGAAACCATTTAAAATAAGGACTAAGGAGCTAGAGAGATGGCTCAACAGCTGTGCTCTTACAGAGGACCCCAGCACCCACAGCAAGCAGCTCTCAGAGTTCCTGTATGCATATATGCGCACAAACACACGCGCGCACACACACAATCTAAAAATGATAGTAATAAATCTGAAAAAATAAAATAAGGATTAAGGCCAGCCGTGGTGATTCCTGCTTGCAGTCGCAGCCCTTGGGAGCTGAGGCAGGAGGATTGCTGTGCATGTGGGGCTAGCCTAGGCTGTATTAGGAGTCTGTATTAAGCTGTATTAAGAGTCAGGGGTGTGGCACAGTGGAACCATTTGACTTTTGGCTGTGTCTCATCCCTTCTCCGTCTCCTGTTTTCTTCTGCAGACTGAAGTGTCTCCCCCTAAGAAGGCAGTAGTGAACCCTGCGCTGGCCTGGCTGAGTCTGGAATCTCCTCCATGATGCAAGTCCATTGGTTCCCAGCTCACACACTGTACAGAATGTATTTACATGTAAATTCCTGCTGTAAAATACTTTTTTAGCCATTTCACAGGCTGCCCTGAAAGGTTGAAGCAAATGATTTCTATTTTAAATTCCAGTTCCTGTTACAGGGTAAAAGGACTGAACAGTTTAATTAAAGTGGCTCTTTTTTTTTTTTTTTTTTAAATGTGCCTCTTGATTTCTCTTGGACTTTCCTGGAGGTCTTAAAAAGAGGAGGAGAGTGAAGGCTTTTCTTTGCATTTGGTGTGAAGATGCGGAGTCCAGTAAGGACAGCTAGGACTTGGAAGTGGAGGGGTGATAGGAGATGTTGCCACCCTTAGGTGAGGCACCTCCTGTTGGTGGTGCCTGGAGCCCAGTGGGTAAATGGAGTGGGCCAATGTGCACAGCCTGGGTCCCACTGAGAGGCTCGCGCGTGCGTGCGTGTGTGTGTGTGTGTGTGTGTGTGTGTGTGTGTGTGTGTGTGTGTGTGTGTAGCAACTTCCCTGAGCCAGACTCTGGTTTCATCCCACCACCGTGGGGTGGGGGCAGATATAACCACAGAATGGCTTCAAAAGAACGGAGAAGAAAACCCTGCTGTGTTTAACCACATGCGAACTCTCTTGTTTTGTTCCCTGCCTGTAACTATCATTGGAATTGTAGTGAATCTTCCCTTATAAATACACAAATGGTGTTACCCTGGTATCCAGAAGCTACGCCCTGGTCCATCCAGGTCATTCCGAGTGAGCGTGCTGTGAGCCCTTACACAGGCAAAGGACAGAGATTGACCTGAGACAGGGAGCCAGGATCTAGGTGGGCACAAGGGTAGGGCCCCCGGTTTTGGGCCAGTCTCCAGGGTTCATGTGGCCAGAGATAATTTTTTAGGGGTGCTCTGCCTTGGCAGCCTCTCTCTTCCCTTTGCTTTCTCTCCCCAGTCTTTCCCTCGTGGCTACTCCTCCCTCTCTCTTTTGAGATCGGTCTTGCTCTGTAGCCCAGGCTGGCCTGGAAAGGGGCAGTCCTGCCTTGAGAGAGGAACGGGGCAGGTAAGTGGCAGAACCCGGTGCAGCACGTGGATCCGAAGGGCTCAGTGTGGGTGTGGGCACGCGGTGCCACCGTTCCCCGCTGGGGCTGCGGAGCGGGGCAGGCTCCGAGATGGCCTCATCAACATCTCCTCCGAAAGCAACGGAGGACGCTAGGAAAGGTTCTAGAGAGAGCAAGAAAACCGCTGAGATGAAGCAAGACCCTGGAGAGGCCCAGAAGGGTCCTGACGAGGTCAGGAGGAGGAGCTCTGCGCGGAGGAGATCCAAGAAGTGGAGTTTTGGGGAGGACAGGAGGGTTTCAGTCGATAGTAGGAGGACTTCAGTCGACAGCAGGAGGATTTCAGTCGATAGTAGGAGGACTTCAGTCGACAGCAGGAGGATTTCAGTCGATAGTAGGAGGACTTCAGTCGACAGCAGGAGGATTTCAGTCGATAGCACCAAGAGCTCTAGCGACAACAGGCGAAGTTCCAGTGAGGGCAGGACGGGTTCAAGCGAGGACAGGGACAGTTTGTCCTCCATCCCTACCAGTGTGCGACCCAATAGGATGCCATGGGTCCTCCTGATGAGAGCCTTGGGTCGCTTCAAGCTGACCCTCCCGGAAATCCGTCGGAGCCATATGCTGGCCGCCCGTGATCCCCTGGCCGTGGACACCGACATTCCGCCGCCACGTGTGAAGTACCACAAGACAGTAGTGAAGAGGTTCTGGGGCGACCACCAGCCTCTCTCCAAGGTCAGAATCACCCACCAAGGTCGGAGGACCCAGATGACCTTCCCACCACCCGAGTGCACCCTCCCCCTGTCTGCCTCTGCAGAGGGCCAAGGTGCAGCAGCCTATGCAGGACCCGTGTGAGGCTACCTGTGACGCCTGCCACACGCTCCCACTGGTAGTCAACCCTGTGGACTCCTGGAGGCCCCTGGTAGTCAATGTCTCACCCTCTACATCCTCGGCCCCCTAGGCACCCTTCTACATCCCAGAGGCCCCTGAAACTCTGATGACTTCATCCATCCCCGCCTTCGCCTACCTGGAAGCAGAGCGCAAACTCCTTTGTCTCTTTCCCCCATTCTTTAATGCTCCCTCAACTCATCCCCAGGAGCCCTGGTACACGGCCACCCCATGATTCTTAGCTGTGAGAGGAACAGGGTAAGGGGTGGGCTGTTTGCATCTTACTCCCCATCTTTGCTTTTCATCTTTATTATAATTCTCACGCAATCCAACTGAGCAAGGCACACATGGAAAAATGTCTTTTTTTTTTTTTTTTTTTTTTTTTGCATTTTCACATTGTGTAGCTGTCACAGCCTTCGGATATTTGTGTATGAGTGTTTGCCTGTATATATGTGTGCACGCCATGCGTGGCAGTGCCTGCAGAAGCCAGATGGGAACATCTGAACCCTAGAATGGGAGTTGCAGACCGTTGTGAGTTAACATGTGGGTGCTGGGAATTGAACTGGGTCCTCTGTAAGAGCAGCCAGTGCTGTGAACACAGCCATCTCTCCAGCCTCCACGTTTTTAACTTAGAAAACAGATCTATTTTTATTTTTGTCTACATGTGGTTCTGTAGGCAGGCACACCATGTGACTACAGACCTGATAAGGCCTGAAGGCAGGCCACCAGGGCCCTCTACAGGTGGTCCTGAGCCATCTGATGTGAGTTCTAGGAACCGAATGTGCCTCCTCTGCAAGAGCAAGGAGCATTCTTCATTTTGTTTTGCTTTGTTTTCAAGACAGGGTTTCTGAAGGCAGAGTTTTCCTATCCTGGGAGTTGCTTCCAAATTACTACACAGAGGGTTAATACTACTTATAAACACTCGGCCAATAGCTCTGGCTGGCTACTAGCTAGCTCTTACACTTAAATTAACTCATATTATCTATGCTTCACCATGTGGCCATGGCTTGTTACCTCATTTTTCATATGTCCTGCTCCCTCGTAGCTGGCCGGTGTCTCTTGACTCTGCCCTTCCTCCTCCCAGGGTCCTCTGTGTCAGGCTGTCCTGCCTATGCTACTGCCTGTTAGCTTCTTATTAATGATGAGAGTGATACATATTCACAGTGTACAGGATTATTCCACAGCGTTTCCCCTTTTCTAGTCTTAATTAAAAAGGAATTTTTTTTAAAACAGTAAAACTATATATACACACTCATACATATATATATATATATAAGACAACATATACATATATAAGACAACATATACACACACACACACACATATATATATAAAACAACAGTAATTAAGAAAGAAATACAGTTAAAAGCTAGCTCAGTCTGTAGAGCATGAGACTATTAATTTCAGGGTTGTAGGTTCCAGCCCCACATAGGGGGCCAGGTAAAGCATTACTCTAATTACTCTTTATCAATAAAAATTCAGGAGTCAGATATTGGGTTAAGAGCTTGAGAGATAAGAGAAGCAGATAAGTCCTCCCTACCTGCTCCCTTCCTCAGACCGAGAGCCAGATCCCTTTCTAGCCCACCTTACTACTTCCTGTCCTAGCTATCTTCAGTCTTCCAAAACCTCTGTGGCTAATTTTGGTCAGCTAGTAGCTAGCTCCACCCTCTGACTTCAAGCAAACTAATTTGTCAGAACATGATCAAAATACCACGTAACAAGCTTCTCGGTGTCTCCCCGGCTGTCCTGGAACTCGCTCTGTAGACCAGGCTGGCCATGGACTCACAGAGCTCTGCCTTCCTCTGCCTCTGTAGTGCTGAGTTTAAAGGTATGCCCCACCGTGCCCTGTGCCAGAAGCCCTCTTAACTGTTGAGGTTTCTTTCTGGTCTCCGTGTTTAACTTTTGAAAGAGCTGTCTAACTGTTTCCTGAAGTGACTACCCAATTCTACATTCCTACCAGCAATGTGTGAGGCTCTGACTTGTCCACAATCTTACCCACACTTACTGAGCAGTCATAACGCATAAGACATGATATCACTCTGAGGCTCTTGCTTGCGTTTCCCGGGTGACTAATGATGCTGGCAGTCTCTCCACATTAGCTGTCAAGCGACCGCTTGGGTGTCTTTGGAGACACATCTCTTCAGGTCCTGGGCTCACTTGTTGGTAGAATGTCTGCCTACCATGCATGGGGCGCTGTGTTCAGTCCTCAGCCCAGCTTTAGGTGGGTACAGTGGTACATGCCAGGAGTCTCAGCACTCAGGAGGTCGAGGCAGGAAGATCACAAGAAAAGGTCGGGCATGCAAGATGGTGCAACAGGTAACAGCTACCAGGCCTGTTGGCCTGAGTTCAATCCCCAGGCTCCTCACTCCTGCTCTGACTGCCACATGTACACCAATGCACAGTGCATATATACACTAAATAAATATAATCAATAAAAGAAGGAATTCAAGGTTATCCTCGACTGTGTAGCAAGTTCAGGCCAGCCTGGGCTACACGAAACATCTTAATTAAAAGGGAAAGAGAGAAAGAGGGAGGGAGGGAAGTAGGGGAGGAGGGAGGGAGGGAGGGAGAGAAGAGGGGCTGTGGAGATGACTCAATAGTTTAAGTTCTCAGTGCAAACAAGAGGGTGAGTCTGGAACCCAGAACTCTTGCGAATGTTGAGAGGGTGTGGTAACCCACCCATAATCTTAGTCTCCTACGGAATAATCAGGGTACCTGGATCAAGCTGGTTAGCCACACTAGCTCTACACGTAAGCTCCATGTTTTGTGGAGGATCTTTGATTGAGAGACCTTGCCTCAAAATATAAGGTAGAGTGCGGAGAAAGATTTCTGATACCAGCTCAGTTCTCCACATGCACACACAGTACGCCTCCCACACGTGTGACTATGCATACGCGACACTTCACCACACACACACAAAGAAGAAAACAATATAATTAGATAAGATTTGTTTTTAATGGTCAAGTTCTGAGTTCTTTTGCGTTCTAAATACATGCCCCATATCAGATATGTAATTTCTTGATGGGACCCTCTGTAACACAAAGGTTTTTAATTTAACTGAATTGAACTCATTCATTTTTTTTTTTTTTTTGAGATAGTGTCTCATGTATCCTTGAATGGCCTGGAACTCTCTGTGTAGACCAGGTTGGTCTTGAACTCATGGAGATCTGCCTACCTCAGCCTCCTGAGTGCTGGGATTTGTAGGCAGAGTTTTTCTGTCCTGGCAGCCGCTTCCCAAATAACCATTCAGAGGCTTAA